AAAGACTTAAAATAATATATTCAACAAAAAGGGCTGATTTCATTATTTTGAATATATATGTCACTAATCAAAATTGTAATTGTATAAAATGAAATATATTTTTCAACCGTATTATAAATAAATATCATATCTAGCCAAAATAATAAAAATTGAATTATTTTATTGCATTAAACACATATTTTATTTTTAATCAAATCAATACATGATTTTGTTATCACTTTCAGCAAAATGATTTTAATCTTATGCAAAAAGAGTAAAAATATTATACAAGATGGGAACGGGATGGAAAGAAGTCCGAACGGAATGTAAGCATAGATTTTCATACAAAAGTCTTAGAACATGTTACAATTAAAATTAAATAACGCTTGCAGTTTTATATGTAATTTTGTTTACATCATCTAACATAAAAATGTTCAAAGTGAAAATTAAAAAAATCTTAAAGTATGTGAAATAATAGTTAAAGTATTTAAAACAAAGAAACATAACCAATATGGATGAACTAGATATATAATAATAAGAATAAAGAAGTCAATTATTTTTGTAATTCATTACGATATTATATCGTATATAACGATACTCAGATACAGTTCAAGTGAAACAAACAAAACCCTGAGAACTAAGTCAGCAAAACTACAATAAACCCATGAATTAAAAAAAAAAAAGAAATACCTAAATCTGTAGGAAACAAAAAAGGCTAAACTTGAATCTTTGAATTGAAGAAAGTAATGGGAAATAAAGATGAAATTGAACGATCAATAAAATTAAAAATTGAACAAGGATTGTGTATGCTCGGATTTGAGGCAGTGCCTTGTGAATGAAAATGGTGGGAGCATGTGACTTAGATATATAATTAGAGTTTATTAATGTGGGAAAATAAATATTTAAACGAGAAATACGAGTATTCCGTCTAGATCTCTTACCAAGTTTCTTATAATAAACATTAGCAAATGATTCTGTTTTTAAAAAGAAACGATTGTGGGACAGAAATATATGATGGATAGAGGACGATACGGACATGACTGGTCCGAACGGGACATGACGAGACGGGTCGGGACGGGACGGGTTGGGACGAGACAGGAAGGGACGGGTCGGGACGAGACGGAAAGGGACCGGACGGGTTTTTCATTCCAAACTATACGTAAAATAATTCAAACTAAAGCCAAATCCAAATCCGATTTAACATCTCTAAGCAAACGGTTAGAAATGTTTTGATTATTTTAAAAAATAAACACGTAGTATCATTTAACATTTTCATTTAAATTATTTTAAAACTATATTAAGTAAACAATATCTATATTTTACAACTGTATGTCTATGTATAGTTTTTCAAATAAACTTATATAACAAACTTTTACCAAAATCGTATTTACATAAAGAATTGTAGTTTTGCAAAAATAACCTCGCACGTATGTGCGGGTCCATCACTAGTTTAAGATTAATGGAGCCAAAATATATAAATAAAGGACCTGTGTTCGCATAGACTACATGTGAAACACAGCATTATACAGTAACTATATATGTTTAATTAAATCCTTCTGGATGGAGCTTGACTAAATGATTATTCAAACCCGATGTGATCCGTGATCTGACCCTGGAGACCTTGGTGGCGGTCAATAATTCTCATGTATAACCAAATTTGCATGAAAACTTTATATAATAAGCGTATTAATGTTCCAGAAAGGGCTATAGTTCTAAATCGTTATAGACTAAAACTTCTTTTTCTTTACAAAAACGTTCCAGAAATATCAATCTCTTTCTTTAAAGCGTAGTCTTGTGTGATAAACTATCTAGGTACATGAAGTAAAACTGTGATTAAAATCCAAGACACATGATGAACTGATTTGTCTTGTGTATTATTTCTGTACTATAAATTATGAGATAACTATATTCTATTCTATTCGTAGCGAGGAAAACAAAGCTTTGTATATTCTATTGGCAGAGCTGATAATAATATTCTTTGTCGACGAATAAGACTATTTTTATATTGAAAAACCCACCTGCACTGCACCACACCGAACCTCATCACTGTCCGTTGCTTATTTTTCAAAATCATATCTCATTATCGGATCTGACTTTATATGTACGCTACAGAGAAACTTTAAACAATACAAGAATTCTAATGAAATTTAACCTAAACAAATACAAGAATTATACTTTTAAAAAAAAAATAAAGGAAAATGTATTTCGTGTTTATCAACAGTCCCAAACATAAAACAAAAATGGAAAAAAGATGAGTGAAAGTACTAGTTACAAGCAAAGTCAACTAAACCGGTAATCTCACCGAACCGCTTCTTGAACCACTTGGACCGGTTGGATTAACCGAAGTTCCTTCGCCGTCTTTATTGACTCCTCCTCTTTGCACATGTACCGAAGAGTTCCTCCACAGAAACGACGCGTTTCTAAGAAATGCCCACCGTTCTCCTCCTCGTACCGAATCACCACCGGTTGGGTTCGGTACAGGATTGGCTCGAACGCTTCCGGTACTACCTAGCCTTATTGAACCATCATCACGACTCCTCCATAGAAACGACGGCGTTTTCCGGAACAACCACCGGTCAGACCGAGCTCTCGACCGATCAATCGGTTTTCCTCTCCTTGAACTCCCTCCCCTAGGTAGAACCAGGACACTATTCGACCGGTTCAATTTCCAATCCCTCATTATCCTCTTCCTAACATCTTCCGGTAACCGGAGAGTAAACCGCTCGGTACATTCTCCCGGTTGAACCACTGAATGTCCCGTTGTATGCGATCTCGAGAACTTATTAACCCGCTTGAGATCCACCGGTACACCAGGTAATCTCCTCGAATCGATTTCACTCGTCGCCAATTCTTCCGGTACCGGAGCGGTAAGTACCGGTTCAGGATTCGGCGCCACTTGCTGCAGTTCAAGATCCGGCTCAGTTCCTCCCGGTTCAACCGATTCGCCTTCAGCGACCTGTTCAGCAAGATTGGCTCTACAAACAGGACAAGTGACATGAGCCTCGAGCCAAGCACCGATGCAGTGAGGGTGAAACACGTGATCACACTTGGGAAGCAAACGCAGCGTTTCATCGTCTTCGAACTCGTTCAGACAAATCGCGCACTCCAGCTCACCTTTACCAAGCTTCTGCGTCTTAACGTCCGAGTACAAGAACGTAGGGAAAGTCTCGACAACTGCAGCGTCGAGACCACGCGCCGCCGCGTTGACGGTTCCTCTGGATCTAGCAGCTCCAGCGGGAGAAACGCCGGCGTCAGGTACGCCGGAACAGTGGCGGAAGTAGATGGAGAAGAAGCCCATGAAAAAGAGAGCAGCGATAAGGATGACAACGATCACAGCCATGGCTGGACTTAGTCTGCCGTAGTTGTAAGGTTGATTAGTTGGACCGGGCTGCGACTGACTCGCCGCTAGATCCGCCGATGATAATACAAGCAAGAAAACAATCGGAAAAACGCCGGGAAAAGCCATATATGGATTCCTATGATGATCATCGGAGCCTGCCATGTTTTTTTTTTTTTTCGTTTGTGTGTATTATCTTGGCTCTTGGAGAATAAGAAAGAAGTGACTTTCTTTTAATTATAAGCGTAAAAACTAAAAAGAGTTTTGAAGATTCACAGAAGAAGAAGAATGAGATGTGTACAAGTGACGTCAGTAGTTGTATCAGTCTTTGGGTTCCACGTGGCAAATAGGAAGGTTCCTCCAATCAATTGACATGTAAATTTTTCTTTCGTTTCACACTGCTACGTTTGTTTGGTTAAATTTGCAAATTATTTTGCCCTCTTTGGTTGGTTTCGAATTGTATAATACAGTATTAGTTTGGTGTTTACTGATATGAAACATCAAATCCCCTAACACATTTCCTCTATTTTTAGCCCAAGTGTGTGTATTTTGTGAGTTTTCTTAAGTTTGATATTTTCCATGTTTGATCATAGGCTAAATCTGCATAGTTTCCGCAATTTAGTGAAATGAAGGTCGTTGCCTAATCGGTAAATTATTCACATACGCCTTTTTGGACTAAACAACAAATACACAAACCATAAAAAAAAATTCATGCGTAAACATTAAAGTCTTTTAACCCATCGTTACCAAATTTTAACGAGAAGAGTTGACTATATATGTGTTTGGATAGCATTTGGGACAGCTATTTAAATTTGTGGTTCTTGTTTGAAAAACTGTGCTTCAAATTCTCTATCTTATTTATACTATATGTCACCTTGAGGACTTGCTTTCATATAATATTATTTAGATGTTTTTCCTACTATTTTTGTTTTTAAAAAGAAAGTTATTTTTCTATCAGCAAGATATCTAGTGATAAAGAAAAATCAGAAATATAGTTGCCACTTGCCACTCAAGTAAAAAGAGACGACAAAAGTCCTAAAGAATCGGGTTCTCCAATTAAAGACGAAAAGTTTTAAGCCATTAGCACAAGTTGCTTTTTTTTTTTAGCTTCTATATATATTTTCTTAAAAAGACGAAAATAATTGATGCTAAAACTAAGAAAATAAAAACGTTGTACTTAATTGGAGAATGTCTTTTTTATAAAGATAAAATAATATTCGGCTCCCACAAAACAAACACTTTAGCCAACGTTGGACCCCTATCTAATATCTATATGGGGTTTCGACTCGTCTGTTAAATTTATTATCAAAGGAAGAAGATTACTGCCGCCGGCGACAAACCAAAGAGCAATCAGAATACTTTGTCGTATGTCACACTCACACCAATACACACATTTGAGAGTTTTAAGATGAGTAAGAAAATAGATAGCGTTTCATTGCCACTCAGTTTTATATCTTGTCGAATCTTTCATGTCAATGGCAAAAGCTAAGTTTAATAATTCAGCAACGTTCCTAATGGTCTTCTTGTTTCGCTTCCTTTGACCCCCCCCCCCCTACCTTTTCTTTGTTTTGTTTTCTGGTCTTTCGAATAGTATAACTCAGATTAAGGTTGCAATTTGCAAATTAAACAATTGAAAAGAATCGACGCTCTAAACGTGGTGCCTTTTATTTTAATGTCAAACTTCTCACCTCTGGTCAAACAAGAAAATGCTGACTTTGATTTCTAGAGTTTCAAGAAATAAATGTTTTTTCTTTAAGAAAAAAGCACGCACATTCTTACCAACAAACCTTGACTACACACTGTTTTCCATTGCCGTCCATAAACAACTCGCCGTTTTCTTTGTGCCCAGACGACGATAAGTAAGAAGAAACGAAGGGATTCACCTACAAAGAAGGCTTGCACAATCTTGGTTTCCCCCTGAGAAAAGAAAAGATAGCTTTTAATGAAAGGAAATCTATTAACAATGACACTTATAAAGCTTCTTGATTTTTCTTCAAAAGCCAATTGAATCATGTGAAAGCTTCTTTATAATTAAGTTCCCTCGTGTTTAAATCCTTAATAAACGGTATAAAGACCAACTGAATCATGTGAAAAGTTATCATGATTTTTTTTTAATATCTACTCTTGCGTTTGCTAAGCTGTGATTAAATCTCAACCAAGAAGTTCTACTTATATGCTACTCTCACATAGATTAAATAGTTAAGCAATTTTTGGTTACCTCAAGGTTCTTGATAAGTAGGGATTGGCACACCTGATTCCTCTGTGAGTTTCTTGTAAGCATTTTGTAGCGTTTTCGTTATCGGTCCAACTTTTCCGTCACCAATCACACGCCCATCGATCTTCACAACCTGGCATGTAATCAACCACAAAAGGGGAAAAAAAGAGAGGAGATTATGCATAAAGATTAAATGTGTTCACGGTTAAGTAAGAAGATCCCTTGAGGTGAATGTCACAGATTCAGGTGCAGAACGATTTGAGGCGGTCTTTATCTGTAAGCTACTAGAGAGTGTACATACCGGGCTTAGTTCTCCCATTGTTCCTGTTGTCCATACCTGAAAAAACAAAAACAAAAGTGTTAGTTTTTTCTAAGAGAAAGAGAGAGAGAGAGAGATGCACATATGATTCAATTTGACACCCCCAAAAAAACTGATCATTTGTAAGCTGAAAGAACCTCATCAGCTGTATGAAATTCGGAGAGACTGATTCTTCTTTCTTCTAAGATGAAGTTCTCTTGCACCAAAAGCTCCATGACCTTAAAAGGATCGTAAAAAATAAAGAGAAAGAAAAGAACGGTTTATATAAATTCTCAACAAAAGACAGAGAATTCTCTCCCTTACAGTAGTTCTGGTTATGCCAGGGAGACAGTAATCTGCGTGAGGAGTAAGAACACAGCCTTTCTTCACCATGAACTGTATTACAGTTTGTAAGAAATATGTTGACAACCTGAGCTTCTCTAGACTCTTAAGACATTTACCCTAAATTCGACCTAAACCACGGATGAATCATCAAAGGATTACTTACAATGTTGGTTGCATTGGTTTCAGAAACAAAACCATCCTTGTCAAGCATAATGGCGTCCGCAGCATTCGCATTGTTACTTGCAATCTGGTTGTTCCGTTACAAAGAAATTTAATCTCGCTTAAACAATGTCAATTCTTGAACTCTCTTGTTTTGAAGACTGTACCTTTGCTAAAATGTTATTGAGAAGGTTGTTGTGGTGAATCTTGGAATCCAAATTCTGACAGAAACAAAACGAATGTGAGGAACCACAGTTTCAACATTTTCAAGTTGTATCATGAAGATCAGTGTGAAGCCACATTCATACATTAGGCGAATTGCGGCGTGTGGTTGCAGTCACCAGTACAATTCCACCATCATTGTCATACACCGGAGGCTTCCATTCCGCAAGCACTGCATTATTTGAGAGACAGAACACAAATTTTCATGCAAATCAAACTCCAATGTAATCATTTTCAAATATTGATCGTTAGGATAAAGCTGAAAGGTTACCTATAAGTGTGCATCCATATCGATTAAATGCAGGGCTCATTCCAGAAGTTACCTTAATCAAACAAGTTGCATAGTTTTCCTTAGACTATATGGTGAAAACGAAAACAGAATCTTCTTCAGTCGGTTACGAAAAAACTTGAAACAAATGTAATAATACCTTTTTGCCTCGAGTTAGAGACAACCTGATATGTGTATTGTCAAACATACCATTTGTTATGAGAGTTGTGAAAATTGCTTCTTTTATCTGCATGTTTTGCCACAATAAAGCTATCATGGTAACGTCGTTTTAACAGATCAAAACTTAGCATGACGAATTGATGATCATCAGCACTCAGAAGCTTACCTCTTCACGCGCTGGAACATTTTCGAAAGCCAGAGCCTTTGCTGAATCAAATAGCCTATTCGAACATTACAACATATAAAACAAGATTGCTTAGAAAACTCTGTTATTTGCTTCTTGGTTTCTGCATTTGACAGTTCGTACCGATCTAGATGTTCTTCAAGCTTGAATATCTTCCCCTTGTAAATCCGAAGTCCTTCCCATACTGAGTCACCACCTTGTACAACCGAGTCAAAGACAGAAACCTAAACGAGAAGAAGAAGAAGAAATAGAACATAATGATCAGTGTTGAAAATGCAAATCACAAACATGAGTTGTTGAGTGTTGATCCACATTTCAAGCAAACCTTTGCCATATCACGAGGCAGAATCTCGTCACCGACCCATGCGAGAAGTTTTGCATTTTCAGGAACTGGGAGACTAGGAGGAGGCAAGGGACTGCTCATGAGGGTGGACCTGTGCTTCACATGCCTCCTAAGAATGTTGTAAAGCGGTAGACTTTGCTCCAACAAATCGTAATGAGACAGAGGGAATGTCTGAAAAACAAGAATACAGAACACGTTTAGACTGAATTCAGAATCATTAACCGCTACAAACCGGAGTCTTACCCGAGGATACGTTTTGGGAGACGAGAAACCAGTTGATTCATGCACACTCTTGTACCACCATGGTGCCCATCCTCCATCTTCTGGTATAGGACCAGCTTCCCATCTCAAAGAAAGCATAAGAAACAAAAGAGAAATTATAGTTTAAACATATGTAAAATCCAAGAAAAAGCAAGGAGAGGACATACTTAAGCATAGAAGCTTGAAATGGAATCTCCAGATCATCGCAAAGACTGCGTAATGTAGTCTGTATATAAAATGGATGGCATATATGTAAGGAGAAGACTGTAGACCATTAGATGTAATGAAATCTTTTTGGCATGTTACATAAACAAAACCTCGGGATCTCGCTGAAGCTCATCGGCATCGATGACTGCGGGTGGTGTTCCCGTCTGACATAGATCACTGTATATAGACACTAGTTCTCCCAAGCCTAATTCAAGAAACGATGGAGGGTGTACCTTCTCAAAAGAAGGCTGCAAAAAGGATAAAACATTACATAACACATTGACTAAAGATGAGATCTTAAGATCACACTGAATCAAGGCATCAAGATAAGAACTGGTGAATGATGAGGAAACTAACCAGTATGCTAAGAGGATTGCGTATCAATATGAAATGCTTTCCTTTACTCATCAGTTCACTTGGCAAACCAAAAAGCCTTTGTTTCGAGATATGCTGTTCAAGGGAAAAACCAGAGCATCAATACACCTCTTATAGAGAAAAAGACAACAACTAAAGCTTGAAAATATGATTCTTGAAGCTTTCAAAACAAAAAAAAAATCAGAGTTTCACCTTACAGTACCGGTACTTCTTTGATCCTGATCCATATATGACATCTTTCACAACTTTATCTCCGTTGCACTCCTATTTAAATCACAAGAAGGAAAATTAAACTTGTTTACTCAAAGAAAGACTAAGAACTACTCAGTTACTATATAGAGACATACCATTTTGGAGAGAACATCGTCTCTGTATGGCCTATCAAAACCTGTAACTTTAAGAAAAGCTGCATATAACGGCTCATCGACAACTTCAGTGTCATCTCTCTGAAATATGGATACAACATCAGATCACAAAGAACACCAAAGCATTACCACAGTGATTGTTTCTAGGGATCTCATCTCTTCGTTTTCCAACTGTTCAAGTTACTCTTGAAAGACCATAGATCTTTAGAGCTAACACTCATTTAGTCAATTTTCTCAGTAGACCCAGAACAAGCAATAAGAATTGGACTTAATTTTGGATTGATCATAATTTTTAGAGCAAAAAAACACATATTCTTGGATAATTTGTCCCAAAAAGACAAGTTGGGAAGGTACCTGAGCAAAGGAGTACATGAGGCTGGTGCTGAGAGATCTTGGTGCAGACCATGAGTGAATAACCTCCGGCTCTGCCATTGGAAGACAGTGAGTCAAACTAAATTGAAACTGTCAAGTCTGGTCTGGTCTCTGTGATCAATTTCGTTATCACTACCTCTTCTAACTCTTAAGTAAGTGACTAGTGAAGTGTAAAGTGTGTGTCGATATAACAACACTACCATAACCTCCCAAAATGATAGAAACGACAAGAACTCATACAACTCATACAGAAACCTTGCACGCATCTCAATTCTTTTTTCTTTTTTCTTTTCTATTTTGGTAGCTTTTAAATTTAGTAAGAAAAAAAAAAGAAAAAAGATACCAACTCTATTAGTGTTGCCAATAAAAAAGAAGTTGACAATACAAGGATGAAGCTTTCATTAAAATAGAAGGAGCCCTTGAAAATAATGCAAGAGAATCCGCAATTTAACAGTAAAGCCATTCGTGGTTGAATAAATTCACTATCTCCCTCGTTCGTGGTTAAATAAATTCACCATCTCCCTCGTTCGTTCATACGTAGTTACATTCGACAATATGAATATATACATATGTTGACACCACACGGGGAAGCTATAACGCCGGCGAGAGCCGATGTTGTTTTTTTTTTTTTTTAACAGCTGAATGCATTAGAAACTCGAAACGTGATCCTCATGGAGGAGATTTACAATATCTGGAGGAACATAAGAGAAAGATATAAAACTTAAGTTATCTGGAAGAGAAGTTTTGACTAGTCTATCAGCTACTTTATTGTTATGTCTTCTCGTCCAGATGAACTCCACAGACTCAAACATTCCTTGCCAATACTTGATTTCACGAATCCAATTGTGAACCCCAAAATGTAAACTCTTGTTGTCCAAAAGAGATTGAATCAAACGATTATCTCCTTCAAAAATCACATTTTTGTATCCACGAGCCCACATTTGTTGCATAGCGATTAGGAGACTTTGAAGTTCTGCTTCTAACAATCAAACGATGTTGTTTTTTTTTTTTTTTTTTATCGATAATGCTTCTGTAAAGTTCATTTATTTTATCAGCGAACCTATAAAGGGATAATTGGGCCTATTAGGCCCGGAAAGTCCATTGAAGCAGATTTCGTCAATGGCCCAATAAACAACAAGAAAGCAAAAAGAAGCCAAATTTGAATAATCAATTTTACAAATCAAGGCTTTGAAACGTGCATCACTAAATTTTATCACCACCCGTTAATTATTGAATTCCCTGATAGAAAACCTTATCTTGCGGAATCGTAAATAAAACAGTGAAATCCATGTGGTTGCCTTCAATATAAAACAAGAAACTGTCACGAGAGGACTTTGGTCATTTTGTCTCTTTTCGTATTTCCAAGCAAACTCTCCATCCCACTTTCATTAATCATACACACGCACGTAATTCATATAAAGTATATATGACGTATACACATTTTTTATAATTATTATTTGTATATATACATGTGTTAATGTAATAATCAACATATGTAAAAACATGTGTTAATGTGTATATGTATGTAAGATTGAGAAGTCCAAACATACTACTATTGTGTTAGGCCATGGAAACCCTTGTTCAGTCTCTTCTTACATATTCATTATTATTCGTAGCAATATCTCATACTCTGCCTCCTCTCGCCTGTTCTTTTCCGATTTCTCATCATTTCCCGGCCGTTTTCAACTTCGGAGACTCTAACTCCGACACCGGAGAACTCAGCTCCGGTCTTGGATTCCTTCCCCAACCTTCCTATGAAGAAGCCTACTTCAAAACTCCATATTACGGAAGATTCTGTAATGGACGTCTCATCCTCGATTTCTTAAGTAATCATTCATTCATCACTTCTATATATATCCTTTCTTTTTTTTTTCCTCTTTCATTTACTTTTCATGATTTCTTTTTTGAGTATTAGTATTACAAACTGTACCTAGTAACAAACTAGTCGACCTCATAAACATGACTTTTTAAAAAATGTTGCAAGATGATTTTGATTGTTCTTGATATTACGCTGTTTTCACGCTCATGTCATTTACATTGTGAGGTATGCCATATATACTTGATTTATATCATTATGAGTACAGTACTGTATATGGATTCTTATACATATATATATGAATGAGAAATTAACTTAAGAAGTTTTTGAATGGGCTTTATGTTTTGTAGTGGAAGCAATTGGTCGGCCCTATTTGAGGCCTTATTTAGATTCGATCAGCAGACAAAGTTACCGGAGAGGCTGCAATTTTGCTGCAGCTGCGTCGACGATTCAGAAGGCAAATGCTGCATCCTATAGCCCCTTTGGTTTGGGTGTTCAAGTCTCTCAGTTCATCACCTTTAAGTCCAAAGTCCTTCAATTGATACATCAAGGAGGTAACTAATATAAATATCAAATGATACTAATACTCAAATCATCAACAATTTTATACTTAATTAAGTTGAATCCTTTAGTAACGGACCTATATGTATTTTTGTTTTTCAGATGATGAGCTTGAAAGATACTTACCGCCTGAGTATTATTTCAAAAATGGATTGTATATGTTCGACATCGGCCAAAATGATATTGCGGGAGCATTTTACTCCAAGACATTTGATCAAGTTCTTGCTCTGATTCCTACAATCTTAGATATATTTCAAGATGGAATAAAGGTTAGTTTTTACACTTATCTTTTTTATTTTATTCACTTATTCAAACAAGGCTTTTTATCTCAGATGATAAATAGGTTTAAGAAATAATATATCTTTTTTTATGCTCTAATTTTTAGAGATTATATGAAGAAGGGGCAAGAAATTTTTGGATACACAACACAGGACCACTTGGGTGTTTGGCTCAAGTTGTGTCATTGTTTGGGAAAGACAAATCAAAGCTTGATGAGTTTGGTTGTGTCAGTGACCATAACCAAGCTGCTAAGCTTTTCAATTTGCAGCTTCATGGTCTTTTCAAGAAACTCCCTCAACTATATCCGGGTTCCCGTTTCACATACGTAGACATCTTCTCGATCAAATCCGACCTCCTCCTGAATCATTCCAAATATGGTACGTATTATTTCACTCTTGTGATTACAAAGTATTTTTTATTTATTTATTTTAGTTTGTTAATATATTGTGGCATTTGGTTGGTCTCCAAATGAATCCAAAACTAATCGAGTCCGAAGTCAAAATTTTGGTCTGATTTAGTAGGTCTAAAATACCTAAACCTTTTCTGGTATGATAATAGGTTTTGATCATTCGATAATGGTATGCTGTGGAACTGGAGGACCACCATTGAACTACGATGATGAGGTTGGTTGCGGTAAGACAGCAACATCAAATGGTACGATTAAAACCGCCAAGCCTTGTATTGATAGCTCTAAATATGTTAACTGGGACGGCATTCATTACACTGAAGCTGCAAATAGGTTTGTTGCTCTCCACATTCTCACCGGTAAATACTCTGAGACGGCGTAGTCTCGGAGTCTTTAGCCAAGTAACTGAAAAATTACTATTATCATTTTCTTTATGCATACATACAAAACTGATTAGATGGATCATTTCCATTAATTCAACTTGAGGTTTCCTTGCCAATAAAAAGGGAGCACTTCTTTCACAAAGAGAAATGTTTTAACACAATAAAATGAATCTTCAAAGTTCCTGTAATGTTTCGGGTGTTATAACGATGTGTATCTATAGACCACACACATGTTTGTACACACACTGCTCCACCAACTAAGAATCCAGAATGCTTCATCAGTAAATGGTACAAATTTTTAACAAAATCAAATTGTTTCTTTTCCGAATTCTGTAGTTAGATGTTTCTTCTCGTGTATCCTTTTTGTTCTGTAAAATTATCAGCTGCAATTTCCATTGTATAACTCTGCCTCACTGTTATATTCTGAACTCGTTAGCAGATTTACTCTTTTCCCCTCTTCTTCTTCTTTTTCTTCAGTGGCCTCAGTCTCGCACTCTTGATCCGAATCTGTCAAATGATCGAAGAAATCACCAAAATACCACTTACAATCTTCTTTCCATTCTCCTTTATGTGCGTTAACCCGCCATTTCTGATCTGCAATCATCTCTGGTGACAATCCCCAGGCCGCTAACTCTTCCTCAGTGTGATGAATCGCCAAGCTGTAATCACCGCCTTGTCCTAGTTCCATAACTCTGATCTCGCTGTTTCCGGGATTGTTTAGTCCCTCAAATTGTTCCACAGTCCACTTGAACCATTTCATCAGAAAAACGCGAGATGTTAAGCCGTGGGAGACAATCACAAAGTTTAGCTCATGAGTCGGGTTGATGTGCAGTCTGTTCATGTCGATGTCTCTCCATAGAGACTCGAGAAAACCTGTCAAACAGAAGGCAAAAAAAAATAGAATCTTGAGTCTTAACTTTGTTCATTCACACATAGAGTAATGGAAGAACACAAAGCAAAAAGAAGACAAAAGAATATAGCAGCAATGGGGGGAGCTAGATTCTTGCCAAGCCTAAAATTTTATTCAAGACCACAACTTGTAAACTGCAAAACGAGTTTTGGCAAATTGCAATGTTATAATAGAATGATACAGAGACTTCATCACACTGAAGGTATCAATCTAAAGATGTGATCAGAACTTCAATCGATCCAAAGGTTCTGAGATCATATATCAGATGCATTTGGTTTTACAGTCATTGTTCAACTAGGCAACCAAAAATTCCTCAACTTTTTTGTCACTTTCACAGGTCAGGATCATGCAGAATGATATGAATCCTGCCTAGCTAAACTAAATAAGCATCGCAGATCATTCCTCAATGAGAACTTTCGTAGAACACTCACATTGATCACATCAACAAACATATCCATCTAGAAAATCAACAGTAAAACGAGAAAAAAAATCGAACAAGAGCAGGGAAGCGAAAACATACTGGAGACACGATCGAAGACGTCGGCGGCGGATTCTCCCTCCGGGAACCGATAGAAAAAGCGGCCAAATCGCTCTCTGACCTTCTTCGTGGCTCTCATTCGCTCTTTAACCTGGAAATTCCCAAAATCCTGCTCCCTAATCCGACATTCTTCGCGAACACCAATCACGCGGCGATGGGAGAAGGAACGTCCGATCTCCCGGAGCGTAGATCGAGTCCGATCGTAAGGAGAAACGTAGAAGTAGACGCGCCACTCCGGGGAAGAAGGATTGGAGGAAATCAAGGCGTGGAGACGAGTACCAGCTTCCTGAGCCTGAAGCAAACCGGAATCGGTTAACTGGATCTTGTGATCGGGGGTCGTAGTATACGCCGCCGTGTCGAGATTCCCTTCGGATTCACCGTGGCGTACAAGGATGATCCTCTTCGGAAGCAATTTATTGTCCGGACTCATGGATGATGATGATGATGATTTGGAAAACGGCGAAACAATCTTCTAGGTTTTTTTTTCTTCCTCCCCGGAATCTGAGAAATTGCAAATTATTCAAAATTCGAAACCCAAATTCGAATGTGAGATTCGAATTTCATGTTAGAGATTATGTGTAGTGTGGTGCCTTTGCATTACCTTCTTGCTCAAGCTTAAGCACCAACACGAGAGATAAGAGTTTTTCAATTTTCGCAAGTTAGAGTTAAATCTGCACGTAATATTTAAGCTTAAAAAGTAGATATATAATAAAGTATTCGTATTTCTTTTTATTTATATTATTACACAAGCAAGATTAACAACTAAAATTTGACATACAACGAGTAGTTCCAATATCAACAATATGAAATTGCGTAATTAATAGTAGTATATAATATAATACCATCCACGTCTGCTCCATTACATTGCACTATACCAGATAACTAATTATATAGAGTCCCAATTATATATAGTACTTGTTTATGATTTTAAAAAGAGATTTTAAGGTCAATCTGTAAAGTCTTAACGTGGCAAACCACCATCTCTCTTTCTCTTCTTTATTTTTTCTTGAATTAAAGTAAGCTCAATTCTCCTTTTTTTTTTTTTTTTTGTCACCTCTCAATTTACGATTTATTATTTGCTGCAATTAAATAAGTTAATGGGGTGACCAGAAAAAAACAAAAAATGGTTTATGGAACCAGAAAAAAAAATAGGTTTGTTTTTTCGGTCAACAGTTAAACACACAGGATATGTTGATGAGTTAGCCCGGTAACAGATTCGTAGCGTAATACGAGTTCATTGGGCTTTATCTATTTTTTAGTAGGCCTATATGTAAATTACAATTTATATACACACTCGTCAGTTTATATAAAAATATGAGCCCATTGGGCTTTATTCCTCTCTTTCTTTCTTTCTTTTTTAACAAAAACAAAAATCGCCCAAATTTTTTTTGCTTAAATCCAATACTTTGCAGTTTGCATTTGGTGTTATTAAGAAGAGTGCTTAATCATGAGATATAAAAAAAACAAAATTCACCGAATCTTAAATTTTGATCGAATGATGATTATGTATGTTTCAAGTATAGTGTGGATAACACCCACCGGATTACTCACAATTCCAAACATTTACGATATACATATACTAACTCTGCGGATCGCCACAGTTTTCATAATCAATTTTACAGATTAAAAAGCTTTCGAAAAGAAAATATTACGTTTGGATATAAAGAATGATGACATCAGTGTAGCTTTTGAGAAACAAAACAAGAAAACATAAAACTGAAGTACGTCCAGTCGTGGATACAAAATCTGGAACAACGTCTTTATTACAAATAAGATTTTCATCAAAAACATGAAAGAGAGAGCTAGAGGGAGAGACAATGAAAGAATGTGATTCTCGGATTGGAATGATTGGTCAAGTCCACTTATGAAAAAATGATCATTAGATATAGTGTCACTATTAACCCCATCCCACAAAAGGAAAACTTTTGACTTGTTAAATATCTAACATGTCATGTTCAATAAAAATATGGTATAAAAGGTTGCGTTTGAAAGACACCAACACAACAACAAGAATAAATACGATAGCTATAAACTTTTGGGTAGTGGAAATGGATATGCTTCTTTGTCCTTTTCACTCTTTTTCTTGATTCCTTTCATACCTTTTTCTTTAATTAATCTCAACTAATTAAGCATTTACTTTGATGAACATAGCCTGCTAAAAGGTTAGAACCCATATATGGTTACTGTCCGAAACAGGGATGTGTTTTGGGACACTTCATCATATTTATTATATAGTTCTTTTTTATATATTCTAATCTTCATAGTATACATGCACTAAGTAATGTGGTCCTGTTAAGAGAAGAAACAATGCATACACAAAACCGAGTCCGCTAAAGGAGCCAATATTTTACAGCGTATGTGTGTATGGGTGGTACACAAATCGACAATCTCATCATGCAGTATACGATCGTATGGACAGAAAAAAAAAAAGTTAGCAAATCAGAACGATAAGATTGCGAACAAAAAGAACGTATGATGAGACATGGGATATATTGGGGATGGGCATTGGCCTATTGGGTAAGGTTTATAATATGATTTACATATAAAAAGGGTAGGGTCTCTCACTCATCTCACTTGTTCCACCATATGCTTTTGATACTTATCTCTCCACCGTCTTCAGCAATCATTCATGTTATAAAACCCATTAAAAAAAAGAATAATAATAATAAATCATTCACGTCAACTATATGAAAAACGATTATAATACCTGGTATTTAAAATACCAAATGATGAGACAAATATAAAAGTATATTGTTTATATGGTAGCAGTAGCATCATCACCATGTTGGAAATATTGTTTATTGGTTAGCAGTAGCATCATCATGTTGGAAACACGTTACACTATGCTTGGCTTTACCTATATTTTAGTGAGAGTCAGTTAACAAAACTCCCGTTTCTACTTTATTAGTCTTCGTCTCTCAACTCACTCCCAATTATAGTACTCTTCACCGAAATTTCTATTTTACAAAAAAAAACTATAATGACATGTTTATTTCATTTATAAAAACCATTCTTTGTTTAAAAGCAGCTCCAGGTACGAAGATTCTTTCAATAATATATATACTTTACGCACAGATATTCCTTAATTTACATCAATAACATATGCTTTATGACTATGAATATCATCAAATTGACAAAACTTTTGTATACTAAACAACACTGGTTACAAAAAAAAACCTATTGGTGGTAGTCTTTTTTATTGTGAATAATAAAAAGTAAATAACTGAAACTCCTTCAACGGATACATTTGGTCAAGCATTAATATTTCAAAATTTTGTACTCTCATAGAGGTGTTTTATAGATCATTCATGATTACTAAAACAAAAATATTATATATAGGGTTTTTTTTTTTTTTGTGAATTAGTTTCGTAAAATGAGTTGAGTTAGAAAAGTAAAAAAAAAAAAAAAAAAACCAGAACTGTAAAACGGTAGAAAAGTCTTATGTTGGTCAAATCTGGTAAGCCGTGACAGTGTTTTGTTTGTAATATGGTAACGCTCCTGACATAAATCTGTAACACGTTCGACATGCTTAATTTGTGATAGTCTTTTCTACTGTAATAAATAAAAATAAGAGAAAAATATAATTTGGTTCGATTTATTACTTACTCTTGGCTAGTTAATCAGTTTTGGTATAGAAGTATCAATATTCGTAATGTTTTGGGCAAATTATTGTAGAATACATAACTTCAATGAATTTTTTTTTATTTTTTTGGTAAACAGTTCAATGAAATATTCATTTTTTCTATATATATGCAAGAAAAAAACAAAACAATACAAGTTGTGTATCCAGGACAGATAATGAGCTAAATGCTTCACTTAATTAAGATGGGCTGAAAGTTGTCATTATTATTAATTTAATACAAAAAGGGACAACCAAAATCGAAAGAAATTATTACAAGGTAAAATACTAAATACTTGTCTACTGTTCCTATAAGAATCCCCCCCACTTGTGCGGCCAAATTACGAATTGTGATTAATAATCTCTCTCTCTCTCTCTCTCTCTCTCTCTCTCTCTCTTTTATAAACTTCTCTCTCTCTCCGATCCTCTGTTTATATCAAAGTCAAGGTGATTTCTCTCTTGTTGTTGTTACTTGGGGGGAAGAAACCAAAATCGTGAGAATGGTGGTGGTGGAGGAGGAGAACAGAACCATGGAGGAAGGACTTCTTCTTCGGCGACAAAACGACATGGACGATCGTCGTATCACAGCTTGTGTTATTCTCAGCACTTTTGTCGCTGTTTGTAGTTCCTTCAGTTTTGGTTGTGCTGTGAGTTTCTCTCTTTAACTCTCTCTCAATTACTTTTCTTTTCGTTGATCTTTCTTTCTTCGTGTAATTTCATTTTTCTTTTAATTACAATCGAATTGAATCGTCCATGTCTCTGGATTATGTAGGCTGGTTATACTTCAGGCGCTGAGAGTGCTATCATGGAGGAGTTAGATCTTTCTATGGCACAAGTATGTATCTTCGATCACTATTAGTACGGTACCCCTAGATTAATCATGCTCAAAATGCATAAATTACTTGTTAATCACCAACATCACCTTGCTTGTAATTTTTTCTTGTAAGGAGTAGTTTCTAAACTAACCAGGCCTAAACCCACCACTGATAATGAAGAAATTATGATCTAATTTTTTTTTTTTGGTGCAAGAAGAAATGATATATGTATATGCAGTTACGTATGAAGACATCCTTGAGATAATAGATAATATATAAGCTTTCGCAATTGGTAATATATAATAATAGTATATAGTGAGTGGAGATCATCTTTTATTGAGAGACACCTGTACACGTACACGCACACTTAGATAGATGCATATGCGATACGTAACATATAGTGAGAAAATGAATATTACTGTTAAAATGCGATGTATTGTTGACCCAAAAAAAGAAAGAAAAGGAGTTAAAATGCATTATACATACAATAGCTATTTTGTAACTTATGCGTGATCAATACGTGATGCCATAATAACATGTTCGAACATGACCATTATTATTACTACCATTTTTTATTATTATTGATATTTAATATTATTATTAGTTTTAAATAGAAGATAAACATTATTAAAACGTGTTTATACACAGCTCTTTTAAAGAAAAGGTTTAAGAGCGTATAGCTGTATTTTAGATTATACAAGTAATTAATTTCGTTATAATTTAAGTTTAGCGAATATGGTACGTACTTCTGACAAAATTTAGATGATAGTGAAACTAATCAAAGAGAAAAACACGAGGGCTTACTTACCTAACAAATAAACAATACTCCGTAAACAAGTGATCTCATTATATATATATATATATATTTTTATAATGAATTGTATTATTATAGAGATCCAAAATTAAAATCAGCATATTTTGTCATATCTAATGATATAATAAGTAGTGTGATTTGACGCAAACAATGAAGTGTGTTTTTTGTTTTGTAATTGACCGAACAGTTTGCAGCGTTCGGTTCATTCATGAACGTGGGAGGTGCGGTGGGTGCCTTGTTCAGCGGTCAGCTGGCTGTCATCCTCGGCAGAAGACGAGTAATTTTACTGTTTTACCCTAAATTTTCATAGCTTCATAAAATTACCAATTTGTAGTAATTATGCATGCAAACTAATTTTTAGTAGTAGTAGTAGTAACTAACCATGAGTAAAAATATGCATGCAAGTGGGGTTTTAAGTAGTAACTAGATTCTAATCCTTTTATATATGTTCTCTCTTTTTTGTTTTGGTGATATTAAAGACGTTGTGGGCATGCGATTTTTTCTGCATTTTTGGATGGCTCTCCATTGCCTTCGCAAAGGTGTGTACATTGGCTCTTCATTATTATTATTTTTCTATTAATAATTAATAGTAATAAAAACTGGTTGTTAAGATATGTAATTTAATATATTTTGAATGTATATATGTGTGGGAAACAAAAAGAATGTCTTCTGGCTGGACTTGGGAAGGATTTCATTGGGCATTGGAGTTGGCTTGATTAGCTACGTGGTAATTACATTTTGGTTATTTCGTCTATATATTTATTTATTGATTTATTTAGAAGTAAACAAAAAAAAACCCAACATGTTTTAATATCGCATGAAAAAAAGGTCCCTGTATATATTGCGGAAATCACTCCAAAACATGTTCGTGGTGCATTCACTGCTTCAAACCAAGTAAGTAGTCTCTATTAATTCTTTACTCCTTTTTTATACAACAACGTCTATTATTTCGTTATTTTCTGTGACAAGTATACTAGTGGAAGTTTAGTATTTTACTCTCTTCTTTTTCTTCAATTGTAAGTAACAACAATTGTTTTTTTTTTTTGGTTTAATAGCTTCTTCAAAACAGTGGAGTTTCCCTGATTTATTTTTTTGGGACTGTAATTAATTGGCGAGTACTGGCTGTTATAGGTAACCAAATATCTTCACTAGCAAAACACTAGTAATATCGTTTATTTAATATTCTATAAACACTAGCTAATGTCGATCTTGATTTATTATTTATCTATAATTGTCCGGTACAGGTGCTCTTCCATGCTTACTTCAAGTGATCGGAATATTCTTTATACCGGAATCTCCTCGATGGCTGGTTGGTGTTTTTTCCTTTATATATTGCATTTCGACTATGAGTTATGACATGTTTTATGTATCATAGATTTTGTTTCACTTTTTATCATTACTTATATATATATTTTTTAATTTCAGGCTAAAGTTGGTTCAAGCAAAGAAGTAGAAAGTTCTTTGCATCGACTTAGAGGCAAAGACTTTGATGTTTCAGGTGAATCCGCTGAAATTCAGGTACTTTTCTTTCTTTATTTTCCCAATTAATTAAAAAAAAAACATTATAGCTATCATATTCATTATAGATAAAGAAATTTTGCTATATTTTCTTCAGGTTATGACAAAAATGCTCGAAGGAGATTCAAAGTCCAGTTTCTTTGACATGTTTCAGAAGAAGTATAGACGAACTCTTGTGGTACGTACTACTTTAACATATAGAGAAACTCAGAGAGAAAAAGAAAGCTATTTATTTATGATTTTTTACTGTTGTTGAAAGTAACTATAGTACTTAATTTACTTATAAACCGTTTCATTATTATTTTTAAAATGCAGATTGGAATTGGTTTAATGATGGTACAACAATTATCTGGAGCTAGCGGTATCACATACTATTCAAATGCCATATTTAGAAAATCTGGTTAGAATATACTCTATTCATTGAAGCCCCTCTTGCTCGTACTATATGATTTTCACCAGGAATATTTTAATAATTAATTATCAAATATTATATGCATATTTTAAACAGGCTTTCCAGAAAGACTTGGATCTATGATATTTGGTGTGTTCGTGGTGCGTACCTCTTGACTCCATTATTTGTATCAAATCTATTTCGATTATTACCCTTTTTATTTTATGATTGATCTTTTTTACTCTTTGTAGATCCCAAAGTCTTTGGTTGGTCTGATTTTTGTGGACAAATGGGGAAGACGGCCACTCCTATTGGTTAGAAAATTATACTACTTTTAATCTTTATATATATATATATAACATATCAATAATACAATATATAATTCACTAGTAATATATTGATAAACATTATTGTAGGCTTCTGCGGTTGGAATGTCTATCGGATCCTTGCTTATTGGGGTTAGCTTCACGTTACAGGTTAGTCTTTTATTTTATTGGATTATAATAATATAAGATCACTATCAACAAACCACGTCTAATAATAATACAGCCTCTCCTAATAATATGATTTTTTTTTTTTGTGATATAGCAAATGAATGTGCTTCCTGAATTGACAGGAGTTTTCGTCTTCGTAAACATTCTGGTAAAAATTCATTCATAACATTTTACAGTTTATTATTTGTTTTCTTAATTTGCTCCCAAAAAATGGTACTAAATCTCGTGTTATATAACAAATCTTTAAATTAAATTTGGTTAGGTCTACTTCGGATTTAGTGCAATCGGTATAGGAGGGCTACCTTGGGTCATTATGTCTGAGGTAATCAATTTTCCTTTTTAAAAATTTAATATGAGAATGATAGTTGGATAGTATTTATTTATGAAATAATAAAATGTTTAATTGTGTATTTTTATTATGTTGCAGATATTTCCGATAAACATAAAAGTTTCAGCAGGGACGATCGTAGCATTGACTTCATGGACTTGTGGGTCGATCGTGAGTTACGCTTTCACCTTTATGTTTGAATGGAGCGCACAAGGTCCTTCTTTTCTCTTTATGGAGTATTATTATTATTATTAACTAACTTTATCAAAATTATTTAATAAAACCATACATAAAATAAAAATACGTAAGGTAAAGTACAACTAGAAAGATTGAAAACTCGTTTTCGAATTTCAACAGTTTCACAACTGAAATATTTGCATTTAGAAATATATATAGACTCAGGTTTTGTTTATTTTAATTTTAATAATGTGCATTAACGTATTGTTTGGTGATAAATAAAATAATTAAACAGGAACATTTTACATATTTGCGGCTGTGGGAGGAATGTCATTGATTTTTATATGGATGGTCGTACCGGAAACTAAAGGAAGATCACTGGAAGAGTTACAAGCTTCCCTTACCGGGACAAACTGAAAATACACATTATTTACATTGTCATAAAATATATTAATTTTTGTTTATGGAAAAAAAAAAAAGATAAAAATTATCATCTATTGTTGGCAGTCGCAAATGCAAATAATATAATGCATTTTGTAATATTATTTGCATGCATATTCTTGATAGTGATGTTATATATGATGTATGTAAAATGTATTAGACGACCTTTTCGTCGTTTACCAAACAGTGGCTTTTGCTTATCCTAGTTTTTAAGACAACAAATGAATGTATATGTCTTACGACTAGGATATGCCCATTTGTAAATTGTTCTCTCTATTGCTCAGAAATATAACTACTCTTTACTATAGATTTGCAATGCTCTAATTTTTTTTTTTTTCTAAAGTTATTTTTACGTTCAGTATCCACACAGGCCAGATCTTGATATCCCAATGGAAATTAGACGATCGTATATGTTAATATCTGTGTTAAACAGATTCGACAGTATCTAGCACGGATTTGCGTATAACGACGAGCGTATATACGTTGTTGATATGTGTTTTGGACAATCGATTTGTTTTCTCAAGACTGCAATTAGTTTGAACAAGTGGCTTGACTTGTTATAAAATACGATTTGTTTTTGGTTTTCTAAGCATATCTAGTTTCGAGTTTGGTTGTCTCTTTGTGGTAAGATATATAATAATGACTAACTTTGAATGCGTCCGAGTGAATTTAGCCCATTATCTGTGCTCAATACAAACTTGTACTATTCTTTTGTTTTTTATTCTTATATAGTTTCCATAATAAATTTTGTTGGGTTTTTATAATTTTTGTTAAGTGGGCCGAGCCTTTTCTTTATTTTTATTTTTTTTGGTAATGTAGATAACATCAGCCATTTAAACGAATTGAATTTGACTGTTAATATCACAAAACTGCAATTTGAATATTTGGAAGTCTCTTTATAATAAAAAAAATATTCCATGATGAGTGATTCATTAAGAAAAATGATATCCAATTCACCCGGAAATAAAAAATGAAAAACGAGTGGAAGGAAACATTACACATGTAAATGAAATAGGTATTGCATAGTTGGACTTGGGCAAAAAAAGCTAATATATCTTCTTCGTTTATTTTGAGCAAAAAGAAAGCTAATATCATATCATTCAGTGAACCAGGACGCAAAACAAAAGGTACAAAGAAACGTGCATGCGAGAACTTCACCCCTTTATTAAATCACATATCTTCTTCGTTTTATTTTCCCTTTTTATGTTAATAAGATTTTGCTCTACTTTTTACGTTCTTAATAACCACCCAAAAACGAACATGTTCAGTGCCATGATGAGTAACATGACGACCTTACAGAAAATTTAGACCATAATCGCTTCACATTGTTACAATACAAACACACATTTTGTATTTGATTTTTTTTATTTGGTTCAGCAACACGTTTTGTATTGGACAGTTGAGATAAGATTATTAATTAGAACGTACGTCGAAGTTGGATTTCTTCTAAGGTTAATCCTCGAGTTTCAGGTACCATACACCATGCGAATACAATCGTTCCTCCACATATCATAGCGAATATACTAAAAGTCCCTGCAATTTTGAATTTACAAAAATTAATAACAATTATTCAAGATACTAATCATAAATCTTCGCATATCATATATCATCATAGTATTAATTAAGTTCCAAATTATACATATATATATATATATATATATATATGTATATGCGAACTAAATTAGGTGCGAAGTTTAATAATGCTTATGGCTAGTTTTTTGACGTACCGGTTTGGCTCCAAAGAAGCATAAAATTGAAACAGTAGCTGACGATCCAACCAGTAAACCAGTTCGCTATGCTTACCAAACTCCCAGCTACTACTTTCATGTCCATCGGGAATATCTAAACCAACAAATATTAAAGAATATTAATTGAACCATTTGAATCATGCTATCATATGTCAGATTTTTTTTTATTTTATGCATATGTAAAAATACTTAATAATATATGTGCATATACCTCAGACATTATAATCCATGGTAGTCCTCCTATTCCAGCTGCGAACATCATACTAAATGTCTGTTTGGATCATAAAATTTAAGTAAATATAGTGTATGTATTAGCCGACAATATTCAATATATTGTTTTTATTCAAATAAATATTGAAAAGTATGATTTTATTTAATATTTTGAAAATACTTACCATTACTCCTATAAATGCCAAAGTGGGAGTAAAATTTACAAAGCCAGGGACACCTTTCAGTGCAAACGCTAATGCAAGAATGATACAACCCAAACATAACCCAGATGCTGATGCCTGCAAATTTTTGTACATTAAACCAAAATTATATATTTTCATAAGCGTAATTAAAGAATAAAATACTATACAGTAATTAATAAGCAAATTAAAATATTATAACCATGAGAAGTGGTCGTCTTCCCCATCGTTCCACAAGTATCAGACCCACTATAGCTTTTGGTACCTAGACCATGATCAACGACTAAGTTACTAGGGCGCCACTGCATGTGGTTACAATTTCATAAAATCGAAATTTACATAATATACGTACCACGACAATAGACAACACCGTCATCCCAATCCGTGAAGGAAAACCTTTTTTTTTTTTTTTTAATTACGTAAATATTCATTAATAAGAAAGAAATGATATCAAAATTAAATTATGATCAAAATATGAGTAAAATTACACAGTATTAGAATTTTTACCTGCAAGATCAAAGATGCTGCCTACGTAATAAGATATTCCGGCACTTCCACTTAACTGTTGCAGAAGCATCAAACCTACACCGATCTAAATTTACATAGCCACCAAAAACACAATCAGGTAACTAACTAATTAAACTATATATTATATGTCCTTTAAATTATTTTGATGATATAACTTTTTGTTGATAACGAACAAAACATAAGTTATTTAATTTCCATACTGTAAGTTGATGAGTATATTTCCTTTTGAAAAGACTACGCATGCTGATATTCGCGGAAGCTTCAACAGAAATCTGCAAAATTAGTATATATTAGCATACAAGAATTGATGGAGAAAATATAAAAAAACCAATATATCTTTTAGAATACAACTAAGTTTTCTGAGAAATAATATATAATATGAAAATTCGTTTCTATATATGCGATACAGGTAAAAAGTATAAAAAATTTAATCCAAAATTAAACATAAAATGTAATTAACAGATAATTTTTATAACGACTTATATGTATGTGTGCGGTACTTACCATGATTTCTCGAGTTTCTTTTATGATATCAGCATCTTTTCCTCTTAATTTCTGAAGAACAACCTCACATTCTTCGTCGCGTCCTTCTTTCGCCTATAATAATTAATCACGTTATAGATATTTAGCTAGAGAAGGATTTGTTTTCCCATTTGTAGTTTAAACCAGACAGCATGATTAATATGACCAACCAGCCATCTTGGAGATTCAGGAACGAAGAACAATCCAAAAAGTTGTATCAAGCATGGATATATGCCTGAAATATGTTAAAGTAGTGTATCTGATCTCTAATCGTGAAACGGTTTTATTACACTAAATTAAAAATTAAATAGTAGATGATGAGATTGTAACAGACCGATTAGGGCAATCGATCTCCATGACATGAAATTTCCAAGGTAATACGCCACTGCGAGCCCACAGTTTTGCAACAGCTGTATAACAGCTTAAACATTATTCATTCATCAGTACGTACATATAACAGTTTGATTAATAAAAGGGCTTTTTAAAAGTTAGTAGCTCAATAAATCAAAAATTAAGAAAATCTACCCAATAAATCAAAAATACTTGATTATGATTTTTACATTACCTGATTGCTAAAAGTAAAAGTGCCTCGCACATTTTTGGGAGCTATTTCTGCGATATATACAGGAACCTACCAAAAAGAGTAATATATATAAACCAGCGTTATGAAAAACATTTAGAAATATCATCTGTTGACCAAAAAAAAAGAAAAGAAATATCATCTATAAGGGATATTGATACATAAATAGAAAATATATATGCAAGTACCACGTAGCTAAGGAGACCAACTCCAATTCCCACAAAGAATCGTCCCAAGTCCAGCCAAATAATATTCTACGCCAAAGATTAGATATTAGAGAGTAATCTTTTTTTTTTCCTGTTTTGGACAGCTTTTTAGAGAGTGATCTTATAAATAAAATAAAGTAACAATACTAAAACGGGTAGTGAAGAAGGAACCTTGGCTAATGCAATTGCAAGCCATCCACTTATGCAGAATACCTCCGCGATCCACAAAGTCTTTGGAAAAATATTATAGAACCAACAGAGACAGTAATTAAGGTTTAACTATAAGGATAATATATATGTTAACACTTGTATCACAAATTAATTACCATTTTACGACCAAATGAATCTGCAATTGTGGCGCTAAATATTGCGCCGATCATTCCTCCAAACGTCAGTAGCGAACCAAATACAGAAAACTGTGTGCAGGAAAATTATTATTTATAAAACTCTTGATTTATTAAAGCTTATCTGAAATAATTTATACATGAACCTAACACTCCAATAAAGAGACTTACTTGTGCGATCGAAAGATCAAGATCTTCCATAATGGAGCCCATCGTACCAGCAGTATACCCTAACTGATTCTCATCAAAAAAGTTATTTACAAAATTTATCACAGTTAAAAAACAAAAAACCTTCCTGATTTTCGGAAAAAAGTTATTTTAATTTAAAAGACTCAAAAACATTACTAAAATAAATATTATTCAAATGAAAGAAAAAGAAGTAAATATATATCATGGTGATGGGTCTAAAAGAGGGTTTTAGAAGAAAAAAATCAATTGGTGGTGGTGATACGATAGACGTTTATGTATCATGGTGATTGGGTTTTAAGAGATATGTAAAACCATTCTATTAAGAGAAACATTCTATAAACAGACCAATAGAGATCGTTTCTCGTTAATTATCGAGAGAGAGAGAGAGAGAGAGAGAGAGAGAGAGAGAGAGAGAGAGAGAGAGAGAGAGAGAGAGAGAGAGAGAGAGAGAGAGAGAGAGAGAGAGAGAGAGAGAGAGAGAGAGAGAGAGACGGGAACATACGGAAACGCCAAAGGAGAAGGAAGCAGAGACAATGATGAAAGTGGCGAAGAAAAGAAGTGGAGTACTTGTAGTTGCACTACTACTACTGATCTCTTCCTTATTTGCCGATAACAATCCTTTCTCAATACTAGTACCACTCTCTCCCTCCATTTTAATTTCTTCACTCAGAGTGATCTCAAATACTACAATTGAACTGTTCGAGCTCAAGAACGAGAACGAGAACAAAAACAAGAACAATAAAGATAGAGAGAGAAGACTTCTCTCTGATAACTATGCTTTCTCTATATATATATATATATTTAGATGTTTTGACCTAGTTTTTTCATTCTTTTTGGAAAATGCTTTGACGACGTTATTTACTGCTATGTCATCTATCTATTTTTACAGCTTTATATGTATTTATGGTACATATATTGGATTCGTGCTCCTACCATATAAAATTAGATACTACTATATTAATCTATAATGACTAGATTGCAAACCCTGGCCTTTTGCAATACACATATATCTGAAGTAAAAAAGACAAAAAAGGAGTAATATCAAAATCCGAGATACTCCTTTTTGATCATGTTACGACCCATCGAAATATTACGTATTTAATGCATATGTCAAAATACGAAAAACATTATTATGCTAAGTTTATATAAAGTGTTTTAATTAGTTGAAAACAACAAATCATTTATCTATCTCATTGGCATGACGACTACACTTTGCTTGCGTTGTTAGACATACAGACCACATAGAACAAATAAGGGAGTTTCTATTCAAAACAAAAATTAGAAAAGTCACATCCGGGAGCTGAATAGAATTGAACTTTTAATTAATTTTAATACTTTGGTGTAAATCGAGAGAACACAGAGATACTCGGATGTTATTTTGCCCTTATCCATAATTAATGCTAAGGAGTTAAGTATTTGATATATATTATCTAGCTATTTGCGCAACTTCATCGACGCACGTCTTCCTCCCAAATGGGTGGTTCGACTTTGTTAATTAGGGTTATTAATTAATTGAATAAGTCTCCTCTAACTTTATCGAGTCCTCCTCGATACATTTCATTTTCTCTGGTGGTGAATTTCATATTCAAAGGCACATGTGGACGTTATCTGTTAAAAGTCCTCTTCTAATGATTAGTTTAATGACCCATCTGTAAAAGGCGTTTTTTCCATTTTTAGTACATCACAGTTGTTTTTATTTTTTATATATTTTTAATTCCGTGAGGCTAACAATGCTTATATATGTTTAATTTTGGACTTGATTTACAGTGTATACGAAATTATATTATTAAGAATAAGGATTCGCGCGTATGGCGAGTTTTCTATTTAATATTTTAGAAAACAAGAGTGAGTTTGTATATCGAAAGCTTTATGTTTATTTAAACCCCCACATGTACAGTACTACTTACAACATTACAGACTATTAGTATATATATGGTTGTTAAATTAATATCTCATTCAGTTTTTCAACTTTCACATACTAATACACATGGTGTTAAATAATTGCTGATGTAAAACCATTCTTTTAAAGAAAAAATTCTATCTGTGCAGTGTTTCGTGTTGTGGTTTTTATAATTAAGTATGATTAATCAAGATATAGTGACATCTCAATCGAACATGTGGTGATGCAATATATCAAAACGTAATCTCAATATGTAGATCACACTTCACATGTTTCTTAGAGATTAAAGTGCAGTGGAATCAAATTTTCTTAATTATATAAACACGAAAAGATTAGTACAAATACTAATCGAATAGTTATTCAACGTGTAACCCGAAAAATTATAATACGACCCTAATAACCACTAATGTATATGTACCTAGTTAATGATTACAAAAATGGTGACGACGAAGAAATTTAACGCTACTATATTACTAAGTAAACGTAAGAATCAAAAGTAAGAAAAACAAAAACAAAGAATAAAAAAATGGCCACGAATTTGTCGCGGTTTGAAGATATCAAATAGACTGCATTACTTAAGTAGCTGCCTTCATGTCACGCGGTTTCTTATTTTAATTGAACCTTAATTAGTGGATGTCGTATACATATTAACAAATTTCACTTTGTTTATTCATAATGTGTAATGTGAAAGTTTATATATCTTAATATAAAGAAGAAAGAAACCTTGTAAGTTGTAACACGAAGTCTTTCACTCAAAGCTTGTTAAACCAAATTAACGAAACCTGCATTTGCTGCATGTGTAGATATTTTATAACTTATAAATTATAAGAAAAACAGTTATTGTAGAACTACATCATCATTGCTTGAATCTCTTCCAAGGTTCTGCCTTTGGTTTCAGGAACAAGTTTCGCTATGAAGACGATAGCCAATACACACACACCACCATACACATAGAATGCACCTGATAACCAACATAATTGGTCCAAACTATTAATTTTGTTGTTGACCTAGCTTGTTATGTAACTTGTAAGTGTAAAGTATAACAAACATTATAATCATTTGTTCTAATTAAAAAGAAAAAAAGACAAAGTAATACGTACCATGAGGGCTCCAAAGCATGAGAAAGTTGAAAGTGAAGGAGACAAGCCATGAACTTAGCCAATTTACCACAGTGACTAATCCTCCAGCTGTTCCTTTGATATTTATTGGAAATATCTGGATTTTTTTTTAATATATTAAGTAAGTATACGTTAATGAAAATTTGAACGTTCTATATAAATACAGTTTTAAAATTACCTCAGACATTATAACCCATGGGATTGCACCCATTCCAATCGAGAATGAACCGATATAAACCTGTAAATTGAATTTTCTTGATCAAGCATTGACTAAACCGGAGGTTAAAACCGTAAATTTGGTTCATTGCTTACCAAGACTCCGCTTACTGCAAGGGCCGGGATGATATCAACTGCTAAACCATGAGCCTGGTTTATTAACATTCAAACCAAATTCAAAACCGGTTACATAAAATACGTATATATATATACGTCCTCTTTCCCAACACTATACTACTCTAAAAATAGCTTTATATTTTTTTTATGAAACTAACCTTCAAAAGAAATGAAGTTCCGATAAGCAAACATCCAATCAGCATCCCAACAGCTGAAGCCTGCAAGCGTACGGACATGGTCAGACCAGATAATGTATTTATTCTCTACGGTTTTATTGGGAACTTGTAAGTGAGAATAAACGATACCAAAAGAAGTGGCCGTCTTCCAAGCCTATCGATTAGCAATGTTGCGCCGAGTGCTGTTAGAACAACTTGTTCGATCGAGTATAGAATGCTTCCAAGAGTTGGGGATGCTCCTGGTATCACCAAAACACGAAAAACATAAACCCGATGAATGGTCTAGACATTCAACATTTTAGCTAGTTCTTGTTCGAAATATAACCTGCTGATACGAATATCTGTTGTGCGTAAAAGATAACACCATTTATTCCCACGAATTGTTGGAAAAACATCAAACCAACTCCCACCTGATACAACAAATATTACAACCCATACGACCAAACCAAACTGAACCGGGAAACATAGTTATATATATATATATATCGTCAGTTCTTGGAATTAGAGATTCTTACAGTCACGAATCGAATATTCTTTTTGTCAATAAGGTCCCATAGTGTGGCTTTCGGAAGGTGAGCAAGAGTCGCCAAGTACTCCTGTTATTAACCGGAATCCAAAAACCATAAATGTCATGTGACGTACCAAAACCGGTTTCTTATTTTCAATTTTTTTCTGGTCTAAGTTGTGCGTACCTTGATATCCTCGGCTTCTCTTGTGATATTAGCGTGAGGACCCCTCAGTTTCTGCAACGCAATTTCAAAATCGCGGTGGCGGCCAACCATTTCCTTCAAACGTCAAACACGTCTCGGTCAAGTTTCCAACACAGGTTTCTAAACCGAAATTCATATATTCGAGATTACTTCATACCAGCCATCTGGGCGATTCAGGGATGAACCAAGTCCCACAGAATAATATCACGCATGGTGCAACGCCTGAAATTGGTTAATTAAACCTCGTTTTGTTATTAACCAAATGAGATTCATTCACTACCAACGTAGCTAGGTACGATTACTAAACCAATAATACCAAATCTTTCCGGTTAAACTACGGCACAGAACAAATTACCGGTTAGTGCAAGAGTTCTCCAATTAACGACAGCGCCTATGAGGAACATAGAAGCCAATCCGATTACGAGAAAGAGCTGCAAAATAATCATGTCCCCATTATAAATCTGTTTTATTTATTCAAAATAATCGAAACAAGTACTCTAGGCTCTAGCTAGTAGTATAATTGTAAACCTAATTTGTTGTTCACAAGCTCGAAAATCTCGAATAAACTAAACATTTGCTAGTTCTCATGACTCTATTTGTAATCTTCATATACATTTTTTATGAGATCATATATCACCTGGTTAAGTGTCGCTAATGCTCCTCGTAATTTTCTCGGACTAATTTCGGCGATAAAAACCGGTACCTACACACACACACACACACAAAAAACTGTTACATGAAATTAAAAAGGATTACTTTTTTTTTTTAACATTATGGCTTGTATATCCATATAATAAAGGGGGGGGGGGGGGGGGAAAGGTTATTATAACATGTCGCCCACACGTACGTACGTACCACAAAGGAAAGGGTACCACAGCCATAACCCGTGAGAAATCTTCCAAAGTCCAATGATACGTCACCCTATAACATTAATCCAACAAGTTAATTAAACAAGGACATTGCATCGTTAAGTTTCAATACTATTCAAAGTTTTAACGAAAAGACAAAAACAAATAATAAAGAAATATTATCACACAGAAATACCTTGGCGAAGTAAATAATAAGCCAGCCGATGGCAGAGATCACTGAAGACAACCTCATGGCCTGTCTCAACAAGACAACAAACCATGTGAGCCAAAAAAAAATGTATATTATATATATATGTTTTAGTTTGAAATATATGGTTGTGCATATTGAGATATCGTAAAATGCAACATATATGACAAACTGATTCTTGTGTGCGTATATAGATCAAGTAAATTTGTTTAGCAAGGTTTTACCCCTTTCCGACCAATGTAATCGGAGATCTTCCCCGATGTAATGGCGCCAATCACTGCTCCCACGTTTAATATCGATCCAAAAACTGAAAACTACGTACATACCCAAAAATTTGAGAAATATGTACATATCATAACACATCTATCTATAAAATGTAGAGTACTTAATTAAATTACTTATAAACCTGGGAATATGATAAACTAAGCTCTTCCATAATCCCAAACTGGGTCGGAGCCGAATACCCCACCTATTTAACAAAAAAAAAAACGCATAAATTTTCTCGTATCAACAAGAAATTATTATAACCGTACAGTATAGTTTTTCTGATCTCTTTGTTTTGTAAAGGGATTAATCATGAAAAGGTTAAAGTAAAAGAAAAAAAACTTACGCATGTTCCAAACTCGTAGGAACCACAAACGGCAATGAAAGTGCTTAGATAAACCATCCACGACGCTTCTTCTTCTGAAACGTCGTTGGATTCTTTCTCCGGTAGCAGCAACGGCTCAGATTTTCCGTTCGTTTTCTCCATGTCGTCTTTTGATCTTCTCGTCATTTTCTTCCCGCAATAATTGTTTCACCTTTCAACTCAACCCCAACAAAATTCAATTTATTTTTTAGATATAAGATTTGCAAGAATTTTTTAGATATGTGAATCGATCGGTTAGAGAAAAGCAAAAGATTTGGATAACTCACCGGATGAGATGGATTGGGGAAGGCAACGTATTTTTAGATCTTGAAAACTCTTGTTTTGTTTTGGATTTTATTGATATATATGTCTATATATACATATCTCTGTGCAATTCAACACATGTAAGTATATATTGTAAACATAAACGCTACTATATAGCTAGGCTGGCTTAGCTAAATGCCTAAAACCCATGCAGGATTATTTTGGACGAATTATACAATTTGAACTAATTTATTCTAAATTACTAGCTAGTACTATAAAACAAGTCCAATATATGCATTAGATTACATCGGGGTTCCCAACAATTGATTGACTCAATCTGTAAGTATTTAAGTAAGATCATCCCAAAGTGATTACCAGAATAAATATTAGTGGTAATTTTTTGCTACAATTATTTGATATTCAGTATCTTCTCAGAATATTCATAAATACAATGTTCATGCATTGTGACACTAGGTTGGTAAATTGGTAAATATATGCAGAGTAGTGACGTGTAATTGACTCAAAGATTTGATCCGGTAAGACACTTGTTTCTCGCGAATCCGATGCTCTTTGGTCTTTTTTCCTCACCGCAAGATCTAAGTTGTGATGGATAATTAAATAACTTATAGTTTCCAAAAATGCTCTAGAAATTGTAAATTTATGTTTATAGTATGAGTATCCATGCAGATTGTGAAATAGTCAAAGAATGAGTCTATAAATTCAACCTTTTCAGAACTATAACTGGAGAAATAGTTATTCCCCACCACCACCGCAAAGATCTATAAATCATCTAAATCTATGAAAATGGCTATTGTCGGTACAGTTGAACTGAATGATACCAACTTGGAACACATGAGTGTCTCGAGAAATAACTTATTTAAATCATCGATCTGTTTAACGTAGGGTATTTGATTTGATAGAACACAACAGTACCTAACAAGCTGTTCATAAATGGTCGATGTCCCCTCTTTTACACAACAATGAAGTATTGAACAATCATTTCCATCATGGTTGTGTGGTGACAACTTTAACCATTCAAAACTTAGCTAAAATCTATATAAGAATCCATCAATATCTATATGATATCTGAAACAAACAAAAAAACCGTATAATTGGGTGCAAAGCAATAAAGCCAATGCAGGTTTTAATGCACGCTTTCTGCATCATGTATACACACACACACACACACACACAAATAATTATATTTACAAGAAGAGTACTACAAAACGAGTAATCTTTTGTTACTTGAAAAAAAAAAACAGAAATAGCTAATAGTTATATCATGTTCACAATATATACAAGAATGTAGAATATTTATAGACAGATTGACTTAGGTTTTTCTTCTAGTTGATAACTAAAAAAGCTTTTGAGAACCCCTTAACTATCAACAAGAAAACGAAACTAAACTCTTTCCAGTTTCAATCTTAAAAAGATCTAAATTAGGAAATCAATTAGGAATTTGGATAACGAGACGACATACGTTGCGAGTTCTACGGACCCTTTTTGCAATAAATGAAGAGATAAGAGAAGTGTCCATTGAATCCAAAAGAGAGAAAATCGAATAGTATTATTGCTAATATAGGATTTACTTATATTATAGAGTCTATACCATTGGTCAACGAAAAAACAATTAAATTAGTAATCAAATTTCAAACACAAAGACAAAACCTTTTCTTTCGGGTGTCTCGAGACGAACACCGAGTTCAACATTTCTTTTCCTTTTCTTTTTTGGTAAAATTCTGTTTCTATTTCCTTTCTTCGTTCCTCTGTCTTTGGTTTTTTAGGTTTCTGAGAAGATCTTTAAGAAAACAAAACTCTCTCATGGCGGTAGACCAAAGCAAAGAAGCTTCTCCCTTGTGTTGTGTTCTTCCACTGTAATTTATTTCAACCAAATAACTTGTTTGTTCTCATATTTTTTAATTATATACAGAAGAACAATTAATATTTTTCTTATTGTTCCTTGATTCTGAATCTTTGGAGGCAGGTACAACTCTAAATATTCAAGTTATGTCACCGAAGAAGATTTAAACGACTTGAACCATACGACAAAACATAAAAGAACCAACGCTTCGCTAATGAATTCTGCTTCAGCTCACGGTAACATCTAACTCCTCTTTTACTCTGTTCTTCTGTGCCCTATATTTCATCTGTTATATGTGTCCTCTGTTTTTCTATTCTCGGCGTCTCTGTTTTCTTATACATTGCTTGTAGATCACGAAACCCCAGCTTCTTCCAACGTTTTCTCTGTATTCCCCTCTCAGATCTAAGATGTCTAGAGGTAGAGAAAGAGAAGCAAGACCCAAAATCACCGAGAGGAGCCTTGGAAGCATGCTTAACCCAATGCTCAATCTCTTCCGCTTCATCTTCCTCTGAGGATCCTCCTCCAAACAGAGAAGCAAGCGACAACGCAGACGCAGACGCAGACGTACGGTGCAAGAATCCCAGAGCATCTTCAAATTGGGGAAAATTCTTCAAGCTATGGAAACGCAGATCCATGAAACGCCTCTCTTCTTTTCCTCCTTTGAGCGGGGCCGCCCCATCGATCTCCAAACGCAACAAAAGCGCAGAGCCTCATCTCGATGGTTTGATCCTTCACGACATCTACGATTTCCAATCATCTCTCCACAACTTCTCAATCTCTGACATCGAAATCGCAACTGACAATTTCAATCCAGGTTTTTCGAGTTATATATACTCTACTTTAAAGGAATGTTTTGGTGCTCTCTCTGTGACTGCTTTTTATAATAATAAGATGCAATCATTTTGCAGAAAACATTATTGGAAGAGGTGGTTATGCAGAGGTATACCAAGGTATTTTACCGGAAGGGAAGCTAATCGCTGTGAAACGTTTGACGAAAGGCACACCGGACGAGCAAACAGCTGAGTTTTTGTCAGAGCTTGGGATAATAGCTCATGTTGATCATCCCAACACCGCCAAATTCATCGGTTGTTGCATCGAGGGTGGAATGCATCTCGTTTTCCGGTTATCTCCTCTTGGAAGCCTCGGCTCTCTCCTCCATGGTGTTTATAACTCCACCTCTATAACTTTAAGGGTCATAAAATCAAACATTTAATCTTATCAGTGCTAATTGCTGAATATACTTTTGGCAGGACCATCCAAAGATAAGCTGACTTGGAAGAGACGTTACAAGGTAGCATTAGGAACAGCAGATGGACTAATGTATCTTCATGAGAGTTGTCAAAGACGAATCATTCATCGAGACATCAAAGCTGATAATATTCTTCTCACCGAGGATTTTCAACCGCAGATTTGCGATTTCGGGCTAGCCAAATGGCTTCCCAAGCAATTGACGCACCATAACGTTTCCAAATTCGAGGGAACATTCGGGTAAACTATATGAAACTCTTAGGAAAACATTATAAAAGTCTTTATTGTTTGGTTCAGTGAAGAACTTGTTTCGACAATGTTTTAGGTACTTTGCACCAGAATATTTCATGCATGGAATTGTCGATGAGAAGACTGATGTTTTTGCATTTGGAGTTCTCCTCTTGGAGCTTATAACCGGCCATCCTGCTCTTGACGAGTCTCAGCAGAGCCTTGTCTTATGGGTGAGTAGTATAATAAAGACCGGTTTGACATTTGAGACTAAACCGACCCGGTTCACTTGTCAATTGGACATACCTTTTCATCACTCTGGTACGAGTTATATATGTTTTCCTTTATCTCTTATATGGTCACAGGCTAAGCCGTTGCTAGAGAAAAAAGCGATAAGAGAACTGGTGGATCCGTCGCTTGGAGATGAGTATAACCGAGAAGAGCTTATCCGGCTAACTTCCACCGCTTCTTTATGCATCGATCCATCTTCTATACTACGACCCAAGATGAGTCAGGTACAATGTTATAACCGGCGTTATGAAAGTCATACAGTAGTTTTATTCACTTTGAGCTCTACATAACTTTTCTTATACGGTACAAACTTGGTCTACATTAGCTAACGGTTAAGTCCGGTCTAAACGTCATTTACACGCTGGCCTTTTTGAATCCGGTTTGATCGGTTATATGATCTTTGAAACGTACTCAGGTTGTGGAATTATTACTAGGTGAAGAAGGTGGGGTTATGACTCCAAGAGAAGCCAAGAAAAAGATGATGCAACGAACGTATTCTGAGGAATTATTAGATAGTGTAGAATACAACTCGACTAAGTATTTGGGAGATCTTGATCGCATTCGACAGATTGCTTTAGCTTCTTGAAAACGAACAAGAATATGAATCCCTAAAAACTATATTGGTTTCTTTTTTCATTGGAGAATGTAAATTATGAATAAACCTACAAAAAGAAAAAAAAAGACTAGACAGGTAAATCTTTCTTGCAGACTGATCTTGTTTATGGATTAAACAAACTAAAACCAACAAATAAAGAAAAAACCCGGTTCACTTCAGTCACTTTTTAAAAATGATTTTGATCTACGATTGAACCGAAATCACGTGGGAGTCGCGTGCAACGTTGTTAAAAAAACAGAGAAGAGTAGAAGACCCATGATGATAAGATAACTTACCTTAAATTATTGACCACGAATTTTGAATTTTGCAGATTTACCCCCAAAACAAAAAATAACGTTTCGTCTCTCTCAAAACCGAGTAGCCTGAACATCGAAACCCCCAAAAACCCTAATCTCCGCCACCACTTTCATTTTTGTTGCAACCTTCGAGAATCCCCAAAAACCAATGGCTAAGAAGAAAGCGTCGCGTAACAGTAACGACACCGCTAACGATAACCGACAAACTCATGACCAGAAGAAAGCACCCGAGACTGACAAGAAAGCCACGGCGCTCAGTCGCCAGTCTTCCATGGAAGAACACGACTCTTCCGAGGAGAAATTCCAGAACTTGAAGTCTCTCAACGAGATGCTTCTCAAACAGGCTATGGAGAAGAGAAACCAGATCGATTCGCTCCTTCAGGCTAAGGATGAGTTGGAGACCCAGTTGGCTCGTTTTGTCTCGGAGAAAGCGGGTTTGCGTGGCGAGTTCGATCAGGTGAGTGATGAGAATCTCGGGTTGAAGATTGAATTGGGTCTGGTTATTGATTTTGTTGAGAACCGGTTTAGAGAGATGGGTGTTGGGGTAGAGAGGTTGATGAGGGAGAAGAGTGATGGAGAGAGCGAGATTAGGGTTTTGAAAGGGCAAAGAAATGAGCTTACGGGTAAGGTTGAGATGGAAAAGGAGCAGTTGAGGAAGGTCTGTGCTGAGAAGGACTTAATCAAGAATGGGCTTGATCTGCAGCGTGAGGAAGCGAATCGGTTGAAGGAGTGTGTGGTTCTGTTGGAGGAGAAAGAATCCGATTTGGAGATAGTGATTGGGAAATTGAAATCTGAAAACGATATATTGGTGAAGGAGAGGAAGATGAGAGAGGAACTGATTAAAGGGGTAAACAAGGAGAAGATTGGTTTGGAGAAGACAATCGAGGAGAGGAAGAAGGAGATTGATGGATTGAAGAGAGAGAAAAAAGTGCTTTTGAGTGAAAAGAATGGGATGGAGATTGTGAACATTGAACAAAAGGGGGAAATTAAGGAGTTGCAGAAAAAGCTAGACAAGCTGAACGAGACTGTGAAGAGTTTTGCAACTAAAGAGAGGATTTTGCAGGATCAGGTTACGGGGCTGGAGAAGAATCTTGATGAGTCTATGGAGAAAGAGAAAAAGTTGATTGTGGAAATTGATGCATTAGGGAAGGAGGTGACAATCAAGGAATCTGAGCTTGAGAGCTCAATCGAGGAGAAGAATTTAGTAGAGAAACAGATGAAGATGGTCAAAGCGCAGTCATCTGATAAGGAGAAGTTGATTGACAAGCTGTCCCGGGAGAAGATTGAGCTTGAGGAGCGTATTTCTAGTAGGGAGGCAAAGCTTGTTGAACTGAATCAGAAGGCTGATGAGCTTTCACGTACTGTTGCTGTGCTACAAAAGGATTGTGATGATCAAACTAAAATTAACGAGAAGCTTAGCTGCAAAGTTGGTCAGCTCAGTGATGCCCTTGGGCAAGTTGACCTCAAGAGAAAAGAAGCTGATAAGGCACTCAATGAGAAGAAGAGACATGGAGAGAATCTTGAGGCAGAGATTTTAAAATCAGAGAAGAGGACTGAAACAACTTTAGAAGAGCTTAAGAAAACTAAGATTGAGCGCGAGAGGTTGTTTGTAGCAAAGAATGATTTGGAGGGTCGATCTGAATCGTTGAAAAGCGAAAAGGCTATACTTGAAAAGGAGCTTGTACTGCTCAAAAAAGCTATGGATGCTCTGAAAGCAGAACTAGAATCCGCTGGAATGGATGCAAAACGCAGCTTGGTGATGCTAAAGAGAACTGCATCTATGCTGTCTCAGTTAGAGAAACGAGAAGATAGATTGATTAGCGAGCTACCTACACGAGAAAATGGAACAGAATCCTATGCTGTGGAGCTAGAGTCAATAGAGAAAGCGTTTAAAAACAAAGAGGACATAATCAACGAAATGAAAAAGGAAGCTGAGATGATGAAGCAATCAACAGAAGAGGCACAGAAGAAGCAGAACTTCTGGACTCTCGTATCATCTGTAACTACGGTTTTTGCTGCTGCATCTTTTGCCTATGCCGCTAAGACTCGTTAAACTGTCTCAGACTGGTTTTGCCACTTAACCACTATCATGACATTTATATCATTTTCGAGTTTTACGAGTATCATATGAGCTAATTACTCAGACCTTGCAAGTAATGTTGTTCAGGTTCTCAGCGACTAGGAGGCCGACTACTTAGCAAAACTTGCTCTCTCTTTGTATGCTGAAAACTTTTGTTAATTAATCTATGAGTTTTTGTTTCAGTTCTCAGCAGCTATAATATGGAATAAAATATTTCTCCCGTAGCTCTATATTTTTGCATCTATTTAATTTCTGTATCCATTTTTTGGGCTCATACACTTTTGGGTTCTGATGAAAGCTTGTTAAACAAGAGGTTGAAAGTTCTATGAAAGAAAACCGATTTGTAAAATGTAAAAGGATGATTTGTATAGTTCATAATCCAAATGATATATAGCCACATTCTTCATGTAATGTTCTCTTTTGTGAAAACAGTTTTGCATACTCTTTGGTCAAATTCTATATATATGGTCTAAATTAAGGTGGACACCACTTGTAATGTTCTCTTTTGTGAAAACAGTTTTGCATACTCTTTGGTCAAATTCTATATATATGGTCTAAATTAAGGTGGACACCACTTGTTCTGCACATTTTTTTAAAAATTATTGTCTTTTTGGGCAAACTAATATCTCTCGTTTTCCTTGTTTCTTCAAGCTTTAGCTGTTTCTCATCATTGCACGAAAGATTCCTCACATGTAGAAACAAAAATCCTTTTATACTTTTTTGGCTTTATTGATGTATTCTTTCTTGTTTTTTCGTTGTTAAATTATTTAAAGAACAACAGAGTTGAAATCCATTTTAAGGGTTAGTAAAAATTCTCTCAGTGGTAATTATATACGTGCGATGCTTCTTTAGTCCTTTCTGTAAAATTAGTAAAGAGTACAAGGAAAAAGAGGAGCAACAGACACAATACAACACAAACCCAACATTTACCAATCACTACAGTTTGTATAAACATTACATTCTTGGAAGTATTTTATACTTATATATATATAATAGGGAATTACCACTCCCATGCTGAATAATCAGCTTTTAAGTTAAGAAAAAGGCGAAAGACTGCTAAAAGCTAAAAGCCAAACATATATATTACAGACGAAAAAAGGAGATAATATTACTTCTGCTCTGTTTTCCCAACGTATCGCTGTTCTTCAACAGGCTTCAACGTTTCAGAATCCAGCGTTTAAACAGTCACAAACACTGCCGCAAGCCGCCCACACACTTAGATACTAATTACTAAAACAAAACTAACCGAGAGGAATACACAGGCCATACATTTCACCTGTTTGTTAGTTTGAAAGACTTCGTTGGCTCTGTTAAAATAGCCTCCTTTCTTTAACACCGTGTGCGTTAACATTCCGCGTTTACAAACGCAGAAATCTCATCCATAACATTATGAAAATGATTGTTATTAGGTAAGAGGTAAAACCCGATAGTAGCTTTCTCTAAATGCATAAGCTTAACCTCTTTACCCGCTTTCTTGAGTCCTTCCGCGTAAGCCAACTGCCAATCTCGAATCAAATCCAAACCCGCAACAACCACAAGACTCTTGGGAAAACTCACCCCTTCTAAGTTTTTCCCTCTCGGGCTAAACGGGTTACATGCTGGATGTTCTCTATCTTCTCCCTCGGGCAGAAAAGCTTTCCAATACCAATCTCGGTCTCTAACTGTCACAAAGTATTTACCATCCAAACTTTTCTCAGACTCTGTTCTCTCATTCCCACCAAACATAGGATTCAGCAAAATGTTCCCCAACACATCGATTCCCGATTCACCCGCTTTTAAAGCCACATTATGTGCGATATTACCTCCCGAGCTATCGCCCGCCAAGAAAATATGAACCTTTGAGTCTTTCTTGGATTTAAGCCATGATCTCGAGTTAACCCAGTTAAGGGCAATCCAACCATCATCATAAGCACAAGGGTAAGGATTCTCAGGTGCACGCCGATAATTCACAGATACAACAACACAGTTGCATACACCAACAAGCCTACGACAAAGAGTGTCATAGATAGCACTGTTTGCAGAGGAGTGAGCAAAGCTACCTCCATGAAAGAACAATATAACAGGGACAATTTCGCCATCAACGGGCCTCTCAAGATCAAGAACACTAGGAGGTTGCTCTTGATCTGCATAAGCTGGTCTGTAGACTCTGCTAAGAAGATTGGTCCTGCGATCGATGAGGACATCGAATGAGAAAACCCCATCAACAGGATTGGCGTTTGCAGTGACTTTACGGTCTAGATACTCAGCTAAGTGCCGGTTAAAAGTTCCATCGGGGCGACGCAGGATATTGTAGGCAACTTTAAAGTTGGAGATTAGAACCCATGTATTGAGAGGAACCACTGTCTGCATCAAACACACACACAAAATTTGCAGATCGAAAGAATCAGATTCAATCATACAAAAGTTCAACCACAGAAAACACCAACAGAAGATCACATAAACGCAGTTAACAATGAAAGGCATACATAAACCACACATGAAAGTGCTTTGTTTTCGACAGAAGAATCAAAAGAGAGTTGAGTTTTTAAGGGTGAAATCGGAATACAAAACCTGATTTAAAACACTCAGATTCAAAATCAAACAGAAGAAGACAGAAAAGCCAAAGAGAAGCACAGAGAATATGAAAAGACCTATTAAACAAACAAACAACACGTTTCATCGATTCGAAGACCTATTAAACATAGTAAGCTCATAAACTGTTGTTGTACATAGTAAGCTCAAACACAAAAAGCAAAAGGCAGAGAACGACTAGGCAGAATCAAAATTAAACAAGGAAATCGAAAGAGACCCATGTCAAAATCATATATAAAGAGAGAGCCAAACTTACTCTGCTCTCAATAAGATTAACTTCATCGCTCGCAGCCATTGAAGAAAAAGTTATGCTTTTTGATAATAACAGCTAATCGAAAACAACCCAGAAACAGCTAAAACCCAGATCAGAAATCAGCAATAAAAGACGAGAATTTTGAAGGCGAGAAGCGAAAAGCTCGTAGCTTTCTGAGCGATTTGCGATTTGGTTTTATAAGAAAGTTTCTGGAAATGGAAAAGAAAAACTCAAGGATCAAAATAGTGAAGAGATTAACAAAACAAAACTGGGATAAAAAAAAAACCCAAAAAAGGCTTTAAAAGAGGTGAAAGGATAAGGAATATCTCTGCGTATTTTAGCAAATGATGCCCATTGTGTTGGCGTAACGTGCGCGCACAAGTACCGGACGCGTCGACGCATGAGTAGAGTAGGGAGGAAGGTGTGTGAGTGTCATGTACTCATGTGTGTGTGGGTGTGACTAATCCAAATAATAGTTTATATTTTTTCTAAGTGTCACTAACACAAAAGAGAGAATATATTCTATTCATTTTATAAAAATATATGATGGCATATTCTTCATATCATCATCATCATCATCATCATCATCATCATCAAAAATACTATGCGTATTCGTTTTCCGAAAACAAATAGATTTTCACAACTTTTGGTAAAAAATGATTAGTTTCATGTTTAGTACTAGTTAGTTAATTGATGAGAAGGAATTGAATGGTGTAGGCTAAGCTTTTTGCTTAATAAAATTAGATCATGTGGTCAATTTATTCGTGGAATTAACTTTCTTTTTTAAAAACTATGGGCCGGCCGAAACCCGGAAGAAAGCAAATATCATTATGTCATTGTTGATAACTCTTTACAAATAACGACAAAAAACAATAAACATTAGCTAAGTGTCTACATAATCATGCCAACTAAATCAGCCTTAAGCCCTAGTAATTAATTAACTAAATTAAAAGGGTAAAGTCTTGTAGTAACTAGATTTAGTAATTATATACCCATAGACATAAAAATATTTTATAAGTATGTATATGTAACAAGTATTTTTTTATAAAAAAAAAATATATGCATACTAAATAACAGTTGGATGAATGAAAGTGGTGTTAAGATTAGGTGTTGAAATGGCTAACAGCTGCTTTTCAACGTGCTTTTTATATTGCCTTATCTCTCTCAGTCTCTTTCCCTAAGGGAAGTAAGATCTTTGCAAAATTATGTCACAATCTCGTTCGTGAAAGTTCATCTAGAGATTATATTGTCGGTAAAACGTTTTTAAGAACAATTTTTTTTAGAAAAGATAATGTGATGTCGGTGAAAAAAGATTAAAGGAATATTAAAGTAGGTGTCGGTAATCTTTTAATATACAATATCTAAGACAAAATTATGTTGAGAATGACTAGTCAACTATGTAGTAAAAAACCATATGTCTAAATAACTGATTTTTATTTGAGCAATAAAAAAGTAGAAGAAGTTATCTAGACCAGAAAGGAAAGAAAAAGAAGTATACATACATATATATATATATATGACTCAAATTAACTCATAGTCTATATGCACTATTAACGTTATCACACTATTTAAGTTGTATATATAATATATATGCATTATGCATATATCCGAATGTATCACACAGAAACATAAGAAAGAGTGAGTTAAACGAAGACTAAAGAGCAACATCTATATACGATATTCTTAAATAAACTAGATTAAATACTAAAAACATCTTCATTGTAAGTATCTGAAGGAGTAAAATTTTTTAAGATTTGCAAGAAAAAATATAAACTTTTGCAAATATTAGAAGATCTTATCCTCTAAAATACTTGCAATCAGAATAGTCTAAATATTACTGTTAATTAGGAGATATTTAAAACGTTTTTAACTATATAAAACTAGCTAGCTCTCTCTCCCTCTCATCTCTGATTATACATATATGAGAAAAGGGTTTTACTCCGAATTTATGAATTAATAAGTACGTTGTCAAAACAGAGAAAATAAGACTGAAAGTGCAAGAGCTATTGATATGTATGGAAACTGAGACACAAACTGAGACACGGGTTTCTTCAAAAACAAAACTTCTTTATTAGAGAATCTGTTTAGTAAACTTACAAGTTTCACTCAAACAATTATCTAATCTCTCACGTTCATGGATCTATACACAATCCAAGAACCTCTCAAGACAAACCCCTTAGCCCCTTAAGCGTTATGCTTTCTTACAAGAAACCACACAACCTTAATGCCTAAGAATTCTCTTGCTCTTTTGTGCTAACCTCTACAAAGGCTTAACACCCCTATTTATACACAATAGGTCGTGGCCATACAAGCCTAATTTCCTATTCTAATTCTAATAGGAATTGCCAAATCTCTTGTGAATTTCCTTTTCCTTTATGGAATAGGAAATCCCTCTTCATGTTTCCTTTTCTACTTAAAAGGAAACTCTTCAAGCTTCTAGACTCCTCTCCAAGCTTCTAGTCTTCATAACCTTCTTACTAAATCTTGGATTAACCGTCATATATGATTTCCTTATTTCAGCTCTTCTTCGTTGAACTACTTCATGTAGTACTGAACTAGTACAGACACTATGTCAACAGCTTCATCTTCATTCTTCATCTTCCATATATGTCGTTTTCTTTATCTCCTCATCTTGATTTAAAACTCACTTAAGAATACATCAACAAAGACGCATGTTATTATGTAAACAGAGCCTATAATATATATGAAAATTGCATATATGGGATTGAGAAACTAAGTTCACCGAAACCGATCGTTTAATGGTGAAGAGCATATATATAGGGAGAATGATTCCCGTTGATTAACCTATATTGATTCAATAAGAGATATATTATAACTATATTTGACCCAAAAAAAAAGATATATTATAACTATAATAATAAGTAGAGTGATCAATTATAACTACGTGGGATCTAGTACAACATATAGTTGAAGTTTTGTGTTTTGTGCTCAATTCATACAGCCAGCTAGCTCTTTTTAGTATTCTAACTGCTGTATATGTAAGGGTAAATACACACACACGTTAACTTATGTATCAAATGATTGTGTCGTGACCACTCACATCTTATTAAGCTATGATCGATCATCTAATACATATACGGACTGGTAAGGGAATATATTATATCGAAAATGTATGCAAACAAAAAAAAAATGAAATTATTATTATATGTAGAAGGTTCCAAATTAGATATACAGGTAGAGGCGTGTGGTTTGTAAAAAAATACAAAAGATACATATAGCAAAAAATAAGATTTTGGAAGCAATATAGAGTTTGGCGATCAACATCTATGGATGGAGAACAGCTTTGTGTGCTAATTTATTTTTCTTCTCTGAAAATATGAAAATAGTAAAATTAAATAAATATTGATTGTGTTGGTTGTCCTATTAAAAAAAAAAAAAAGAAAAAAAAAAGAAAGAAAGAAGAGACCTCAGGGGTCGCAATCTTTGCTTTAATATTATTTGTCATTTCGCGATGTAACCTTTTATCTCTTTCCCATCGAAATTTGTTTTATTCATTTATCGATCACACTAATAAACTTTGTTTAATAATGAACTTTGGTTTTTTTTTTTTTTTTTTATAGATCTCAAAGTGTATATCATTACATAGAGCCCGAGTAGATGGATCATGGATCTCTTTCACCCTTATTTATTACCAACCAACACACCCAACTCTCTTTCTTTTCCTCATCATCAAAGACATTTGTTTTTTCTCACACTTTCACATTGAGCAATGAGCATACATATATATTAAGGACTAATCCACTATATCATGTTAATTGATTTTACGGATTTTGTAAACTAATCAATCTAGCTACAGGCTACTACTATATAAGAGGATATCATTATATCAACATCTATGATGGATTTTATTACTGTATGTATATATTCTCTTTTCACCTTGTTGAAAATTTGGAAAAGTTAATATCTATTGGGCCTACTTTTTGTTTCCACAAAGTTAATGGGCTTATGAAACCAAATCGTGATACGACTGTTTCTTCTCATAACTACGAGACGCACTTAAAAAACAAAAAATGAATGGGCTTTCCATGGCATACAAAGGAAACTAAAAAACTTTCCATGGCATATCGTGATTCTCATCTTCTGACAAACGAAATCGAACGGCTACAAAATTATCAGAGACTCTGGTCAAAGAAAATACTGTATGTAACAAGTAAAATCCAACGGTTAGGTGATAATTTGATCCAACGGTTAGGTGATAATTTGATCCAACGGTTGTAAAAGAAAGGACGTACAAATTTGTCCCGAAACGTGTATGCAAAAACTTTTATGAGCCTCCCTCCATTTTTTCTGTTTTCAGTCATCTCACTCTCTCTCTCTTGTTTTCAAATTTGAAAACGAATTTTGCTCTGTGTCTAACGGAAGTAAAAGAGGAAACTTTCTCAGTTTTCTACTTCCTAGAACTCCGAAACTCCAATCTTGGAGCAACTAAAAGGAGACAAAATCATCATGGAACCTGACAATTCACAACCTTTCAGAACAGACACGCCGGAGAAGGATCCGGCGCCGGCACAAACTGATCATCAATCTGGAAAAAGGTTTAGTTTTTCTTTTTTCTTTTCTGAGTTTTTATGTTTCTTCTTTCTGTGAAAGCTTCTGTTTGCTGTTTGCGTGCTTATGTTTCTTCACATGAATTTCTCAGATTGTTTGTTTTTCGTAACATATTGTTCTTTTGATTTTTGAATACTTAGGGTTTCTGCATACGATCTTATGGTAGTGGAGGGTGATTTAGAGGGATCTGATCCAAAAAATGAGGAGATACATGAAATGTTAGACCAGATTGAGGAGAAAGCTTCATCAGTTCTCGAGTTCTCCCTTCGGTGGGAAGAAATCGACGAGCAATTTGATTTGCTAAAGCAACGAGCCATGGAAGTGGATTTAAAAGAGGAATCTTTAAGGAAGCAGGTTCTGGAGCTGGATAAGAGGGAAGAGCGAGTGAAGCTGGTTGAAGAGAGAGAGAGGGGGAGGGCTGAGTTGATTGAAAAGGAAGCTCAGTCTCTGGAAGCAAATGTGGTGGGACTAGTTCTTCAGATGCAGAATGAAGAAATGGTGGGTTCTCAACTTAACTCACGAGAGAAATTGCTTGGTTTGCTTCAGGATTCGATGATGAAGAAACATGAAGGGTTGATTGCTGAGCTTGAAGCGAGGGAAAAGGAGGTTGCTTTGCTTTCTAAGTCGATCGATGAGAAATCTTTTGACTTTGAGATGAAAGTGAAAGACTTTGACCTGAAGCAAACCGCAGAGACTGAGAGAAGGAGAAAAGAAGCTGAGCTGATGGAAGCATCTCTTAGAGAACTTGAAGCGAGGGAGTATGCGCTCAGGTTGCTTAATGACACCATTAGAGAGAAATCGGCTGCACTGGAGAAGAAAGAAGAGAACTTTCAACTAAAACAAGAAGAAGTAGCTAGTGCGATCGATGTGAAGCGCAAGTCCCTTGAGTTAAAGGAAAAAGAACTTGAAGAAAGAGAGAAAGAGATTGAATTGAAACAGATAGAAGACGAAGAACTATCAATGCAAGCATTGACTCGGAAGAGATCTAGGCTGGAATCGGGGCTTTCATTGGTGGCAACGAAGGGCAGAGACGCTGAGGCTCATACACAACACAACCATAATAATGAAGACAAGGGAAATAATTCGGTTTCTGTAGATTCAGCTTCTAAATCCTCTCCTGTACTAATAAGTGAAGCATATGAAGAAGTTGTCTCCAGTGAGAACAGTGATGAGGAACATGAGCCATTACTGTGTGCTGATTCAGAGTTTAATGATTTCGGCAAGACAATGAGATCTTTCATGGCTGGTCAAGTTTGGGCTCTATATGATAGTATAGATTCTATGCCTAGGTTGTATGGTCGGATCAAGAAAATTACTAATCGTGGGTCGAGTCTTCATCTGACATGGTTTGAATCTAAAGATGAGAAATCTGTTCCTTCTGGTTGCGGGAGGTTCAAGCTGGGGATTACAGAAACCATAAGCGACCTGACCTTTTCTCATGTGATGCATCCCATCATACATGGCAGAAACTTCATCGCTGTGATTCCAAGGAGAGGCGAAACGTGGGCTCTTTTCAGAGACTGGAGCAAAAGCTGGAACAATAACCCGAAACAGCACAAGCCTTCTTATAAGTACGACTTTGTGGAAGTTCTCGTCAACTTCGACGACTGTCTAGGAGTTGGAGTGGCCTATTTAGGAAAGGTTGAAGGATTTGTATCGGTCTATGAAAAAGCTGGGCAGCATGGAGTCGTCTCACTCATGATCGCACCAGAGGAAATGCAAAGATTCTCTCACAGAGTGCCATCATTTAGGTTGAATGGAGAGGAGAGAGAGGGAGTTCCCGCTGGTTCTTTCGAGCTAGACCCTGCTGCTATCATCAGTGTTCCACTCAAGCCTGATCGCTCCATCCGTGAGGAAGCAGAAGAAACAGCAAGGCAGAGCGAGGATTGTGGTAAAACTTGTGAGGTTGATGATCAAGATGGGTTAAGAAAAGATTTCCCCATTATCTTAGATTGAAGTTGGTCTATATTTATGAGTCTGATGGTCTTAGTTCTTCTAAGATGGAAGTATTTTATTTCTCTAATAATGGCTTCTTGTTGCAGAAATTGGTACTGTGATCTTCTGGACATGTCTTTGTTTCTTGAATGGTAACTTCAGGCGATAGTTTATTTTTTTTGCAGTATTAGTGCTGACATAATATCACTTTACTGGCAAAACAAACAAGTGGTAATAACTTTAGAAATACGAAGAAAAATATCTGTCTTTGGTTACAAACAAAAGAATCTAGCCTCATTTCTTATATCATTTGGCTACTATATAAACAATACATGAATCTCTGTTACCACAAACACAAAAATTAACTGATACAAAACAATCTTTCTAGTGCACAACCTTTGTAGATTCTCTTTCCTTTTGTCTCTTTCCTTTCGTCCACCAAAACAATTTCTAGACCTCCTTTAAGTCTTGATCCAATACTCAGACAATGGTGAGAAATGGCGTTTTGAGAAAACTGCAATACACTCAGAAATAAACTTCAACTGGCTTATGTTTTGAACCGTCTAAACCCGAACCAGATCTCGTAGTGATTGAACAGCAAGCTATCATGTGTTTGTTTCCCAAGATACTCAAGTCCTAAACTTGCTAGCTTCTGCGCACACTTGTCTCCTCCTAACCGCGAACAGAACTTTACGTTATGTGAAACGAAGATTCTCCCATCGTAAGGCTTTAACTTTTCTACTAGTCTCTCGAGTCCAGTCCACACGAGTTTATCAGGCATGTGGAGAAAGACTGCACTTGCGTATATCAGATCATAGGTTGTATCTGAACCAAACTTGCTGAACTCCATATCATCTCCTCTTACTATAAGAGGTCGTTTATGTAGAAGACCTTGAGATGGAAGCTCATATCTTAAAGCAGCCATTAGCGAAAGCTCATCCTTTTCAAGGCAGTGAAAATGTTGGGGACTAAGATAGCGGATAAAATGCAGACCGACACGCAACGTGCCACATCCAATTTCAAGAACACGGGAGTTTGGTTTAAGCTTAGCAGATTCAGCCAAGAACTCAAAAACGTCACGACCACCAGCCCAGGGTTCACCATAGTTGCTGTGATGCTGCTCAACTAGTAACTCACCAGGGCACGGAAGAGCTGTGTGGTTGTTTGCTTCATCTCCTTCGTAATGGGATATACCCTTGTACCTGAATTTCAAAGAGAGTGAAATCAGAAGAAACAAAAGTAATGCCTGATAGTTTGGCAAAGACGGTGACTATTTGAGGAGTTAAACAAAAAGAAGCTACGTACACTCTGATAAAAACCAGTCTACATCACAAAATCCACAGCTAAATCTCTAAGCAGCACTCAGATCCGTTTGGTCTCACTAGATATCCAATATAATTCTGACCTCATTCATAGATATGGATTCAAAAACTATAAATTTTTTCACTTTCCAATTACTTGGAGGCAATGAAGGCATAAAGTAACTGAATTCACATACACATATCAATAAAAATTCGATCTTTATAACTACTAAGCTAAATAACATCAAATGAAATCTCAAGACGTTAATAGCCACTCAACAATGGAGGAGCTTGAGAGCGCCTTGTAGCTTAAAAGAAGAGAGAGAGAAAGGGGGGGGGGATGGTTACTGTTTCAGATCTATGAGTTGTTGATCCCTAGTGCGAGGATTAATCCCTTTCCGAAGCTCATTCTTCTGCATATGCAAACCGTTGGATCTAATCAGATCTCTAACCCACTCAATATCATCTTTCGTCGGAGATATCCTCACATCAACGCCGCTTCCACCGACGGGTGCTTCAACGGCGTTGTTAAGGGGAGAAGGTATAGAAGGAGGACAGGAGCAAGAAGACGAGAAAGAAGAGGAGAGGAGGAAGAAGGCAGCAGCTGCGAACGAAGCGGAGAGTACAAGTACGGGGATTGAGACAAAGATTCCTTTCTGCATCGCCGGAGACGATGAAGAAGAAGAGGAGAGAAACGCCATTGATGAAGAGAGAGAGAGAGAGACTCTGCTTTAGGAAACTAGTATAGTGTAAACGAGTTCGTTAAACCCAATAATAGAATGTCGTAAATTTAGTTTTTTTTGTTTTCTCTGTTTTTGTGATTCAGATCGTGTAATTACTAATTAGTAGTATAATTTAGCTTTGAGCTGTAAAGTATATAGGATTAAATAAATTGCAAAATCAACATGGGTCGTAGCAGGAAACTTTATAAAAACCATCATGAATTAACGGTAAAACTGTCAAAGTTTTCCTTTTCTTTGTTTGGTAAGCATAATTATTTTAGGAAATTTGTCAAATAATTTAATGAATAAGTTTCTTTGCATAAACATAAGTTTGTAATTTACCCGTCTTTTTTTACCGTCTTGATAATCACGCACCTTTTAAAAAAGGTATTGACCCCTCGAAGCCTCTGACTTATGTTTTTAAGTGAGACAATGAATGTCAAAAAAAAAAAAGTGAGACACATATTTCTAAACAGCATTGTCTTTATTAATTTTTTTTTGTTGGTCAAGCATTGTCTTTATTAATTAAAAAATGAATTTTGGATATTATTATTGTATTTAAAAAATCAAAAGTGTTTGTTTACTATTGCATACTACTAGTATTTGCGCCTTTTTTTTTTTTTTTTTTTTTTTTTTTCAATTTTGGATTGTAATCGGTAACATTTGTCCGAAAGAGAAAGATGGAAAATAAGAGGTTGAGTAGTATGCAATAGTATTAATTAGAAGAAATATGTGATTTATTAAGAGCATATAAATGTTATATCTTCACGCAATGAATGATCAGATTTGAGAAATTAATGATTGTAATACATTTCTGTATTGAGTGAAAAAATGATACCATGTATGTTACATATTTATAGAGTCCACTAACTCTAGATTTATACATGAAATATATTTTGATTGGACTTTACAATATGTTCGAGTGGTGTGATGAAATTAAGTATTTGAAATATAAATAACTTATTGTATATGATGAAATTGATATGCTTCAGTTTTGTTTTAGCTAATAATAATTACAAATCGCTGTACCTTAAAAATAAATTGAAAAATGTTGTGGTCAAAAATTATATAAAATGAAACTTTAGCGAGTCATCCATCCAATAAGAAAAATAAGTAATGTTTATCCAAATCCCAAAAATATATATTTGGATTTTTATTAAACAACGCTATTGGGTGATATGGGCTGATTTTTACCAAGTCTCTCTCGAGCCTTTGTTGATGATACTACTACTACTTGATAGAAAGAGAGAGAGAGAGAGAGAGAAAGCTTTGTGTTTTCCTTCAAAGAAAAAAAAAAACTTTTTTTTGTCGTTCTTCTTCTTCCAATTTTCCAAACGCAATCACGCCTTGGAAAAGGCTTTGCTTTTCTTCTTCTTCTTCTTCCTTCTTGACTCTAATTTTTATTTGTCATATTTTACAAATTTGTGCAAAACTTTTGTGAGTTTCTAGATCAATCCGATTCCCAAATCTCGTTATATTCACTCCCCGCGCCAAAGATCGGTTCTAGGGTTTGTGTCTTCGTTTCAAAACCGTGTGTGTGTGTTTTGGGTTGCTGAATCACGTTGTTACCATCATCGATTACATCTGAACTTCGGATTAAGGTATGTTAGATGATTTCGGCTTACGACTGATTCCACTTTATTTATTTTTTATTGATATTTTGTTCAAATTTTTGTTATCCTGTTAGAAATTGAGCAATTAGTTGGAAACTAATCGTGTATGTTTAATGGATGAGTGTGAATTTGATGTTTTGTTTTTTATTTATTTGGGTACTGTGAGTTGGGATCAAAAGTGGGGAGTCTCAGAGAGCTGAGTAGTGATGGTTTTGTCTCTTGTACATTGAAATTGTGTCTGGCCTTTTGATTTTGATCTCCTTCATCTTTCGACTATTGTCCTTTGATGAGTCAATGGAGGATTTTTATTCCATGTGGATAACTGCTGTTTTTTTTTTTCTGGATTTTTTGAGATTCTCAATAGAGAATCATACTCTGAGATAGGGGATCTCTTTGGCTGTCCCATAGGTTTTTTTTTTGGTTCCTTCTGGATTCAGATTACTTAGTCCACTACCAGCTTTGTCTTTAGCAATATTTTGGTTGGTCTTGTTTCGTTTTGGATGATGATGATAACTAGTCTGTTTTAAACGAGGTTGTCTGCCCCTTACTTCGTTTGGGTTTTTTTTTTTTTGTGATACTCCTTTCAGGATTATTTGAAATGCACCGGGTTGGAAGTGCCGGCAGTAATGGCGGGTCTGTCCGCACTCGCAAAGAGAAAAAGCTTACCTATGTATTAAATGATACCAACGATTCAAAGGTCAGGTTGTTTTATACCAATATGGTTTTTCGCCATCCGGTGTTCTGTTTCTCTTTGTTTTGTTTATGTTCTTGTTCCTTCATATTCTTTTTAACCACAAAAGAGTTGAAATACTCTCAAGTGACATCTCCCTCTCAACTCAATCCTGATGATGTTTTTCTCATGTTATGTGCACGCTGCAGCATTGTGCTGGCATAAATTGCTTGGATGTGCTGAAGTCGTCTGTTTCTAATGATCAAAATTACCTCTTCACTGGAAGTCGTGATGGCACACTCAAGAGATGGGCATTTGATGAGGATGCTACCTTTTGCTCAGCTACGTTTGAGTCTCATGTTGACTGGGTATATAGTTATCCTGGCACTGAAATTTAGCTGTATAGGGATGATCAATAATTAGGATCCTGTGTTTTCTGAAATGAATCCTGTTCTATCGTGCATCTAATTATTTCAAACCCCCATGCTGGCTGGTCAGGTGAACGATGCTACTCTGGCTGGTGAAAGTACTCTTGTTTCTTGTTCTTCAGACACTACGGTCAAGGTTTGTGAATTTTTTTTTGCTCGCAGTATATAACCAACGTTTTACTTTGTTTTGTTTTTGTATTACCATATTGGTTTCTAAATGCGGCTCAAATAATTGTATCTAGACATGGGACGGCTTATCAGATGGAGTCTGTACGAGGACTCTCCGTCAGCATTCTGACTATGTTACTTGTTTGGCAGTTGCGGCAAAAAATGTAATTTGTCATTCTCCATGCTTTTTTTCTTTTTAGTTCCACCTGAAAAAAAATTCTTGGTATGGTGGTGTAAGGTTTGTAGGATATATTGTCCATGCTTTTTTCCTTTAATTGTCACATTCTGATCCTATCTTGATGTCGCAACTTTAGAGTAATGTTGTTGCATCTGGTGGCCTCGGTGGGGAAGTTTTTATATGGGATATCGAAGCTGCTTTGTCACCAGTTACAAAACCTAATGATGCTAACGAAGATAGTTCTTCTTCAAATGGTGCAAATGGTCCTGTTACAAGTTTAAGAACTGTTGGTTCAAGCAACAATATCTCTGTGCAGTCATCTCCATCTCATGGGTACACACCAACAATTGCCAAAGGCCACAAGGAGTCTGTGTATGCTTTGGCGATGAATGATACTGGGTCGATGCTCGTCTCTGGTGGAACAGAGAAGGTATTTGTAGAATCTAGGTTGCAGAGAATATACCTGGGAACAGGAACCGATAAATAATTGGGTTTTGGATTTCTGAATACTATGTTCTTTCTTTTTATCGCAGGTTTTACGTGTCTGGGACCCTAGAACTGGTTCAAAGAGTATGAAGCTGAGGGGGCATACAGATAATGTGAGAGTGCTTCTTCTGGACTCAACTGGCAGGTAAGTTTTTTTTTTCTTTTTGTTCATGGCAGCAATGATTGATTTTGGGTCCTTTTGGTTCCTAGTTTTCTCTGACTGACGGAGTTTCCTTGTGTTTCTGACCTTGAGACTGCAGGTTTTGCTTGTCTGGGTCCTCTGATTCTATGATAAGGTCTGTATTTTTTCTAATTAGCTCGTAACTATGATACCCAGTGGCTGAAGTTATAGTGATCATTTTAGTTCTAACTGGTTCTAAATTTATTTCTAGACTATGGGATCTGGGTCAGCAGCGATGTCTTCATACCTATGCGGTGCATACAGATTCTGTTTGGGCGCTTGCATGCACTCCATCATTTAGTCATGTTTATAGCGGTGGACGAGACCAATGTGTGAGTAGAAACCAAACTTGCCTCTCTCTTTTGTTCCTTTCCAGTGTATAACTTCTTTTTTCAATTTCATTTATGTGTTATGTCTCTGTCAGTTATACTTGACCGACTTGGCAACAAGGGAGAGTGTTTTGCTGTGCACTAAGGAACATCCAATTCAGCAATTAGCTTTGCAAGATAATAGTATTTGGGTTGCAACTACGGACTCCTCTGTAGAGAGATGGCCTGCCGAAGTACAGAGTCCTCAAAAGATCTTTCAACGAGGTGGCTCTTTCTTGGCTGGGAATTTGTCTTTTAATAGGGCGAGGGTGTCTTTGGAAGGACTAAATCCAGTAAGCATAATAATATCCTCTTGTAAATGATTCTGTTTAACCTTTGTTGATTCAGTGTGATAACTTTTCGGTTGTCTGCAGCCCCCTGCCTACAAGGAGCCGTCAATAATTGTTCCAGGAACTCACCCGATTGTGCAACATGAGATTTTGAATAATAAAAGGCAAATTTTATCCAAGGTAAAATTTTTTTCTCTGAGGTCTCTGGTAAGAGACCGCCATTGATAGTTTTGTAAAAGTGTCAATGATATGTGTTTGGTTTTTATTTTGCAGGATGCAGCTGGCGCAGTGAAACTATGGGATATAACTAGGGGTGTTGTGGTACAGGACTATGGAAAGGTAACTACGGAACCTAGACATCTCTTTTTAATTTCTAAGATTTGATATATGTATCTGTTACTGCAATAATGGAGATGTACTAAGTCAAAAAAATATATCTGTTGCCATCTCTGCAGATTTCATTTGAAGAGAAGAAAGAAGAACTGTTTGAGATGGTAAGTCTCTTGATTAATTTTCAAATTTATGATTCTGTATCTTTAGTGAGATTAGCAGATTTACTTACATTAATGATGTATTGCTCATTTATCCTTTTTTAGGTAAGCATTCCATCATGGTTTACTGTGGATACACGACTTGGATGCTTATCTGTACATTTGGAGACTCCACAATGCTTCTCTGCTGAGATGTATTCAGCAGACCTTAAAGTTTCTGGGAGACCTGAAGATGATAAGGTAGATTAAATGCCTACATTTTAGTTATGCTGACGCTAATCAGAAATTTCCCTTTTTATCTTACTGTTGCATATAATGGATTTCTTTTACCATAATTGAATACTTCAGATTTTTGTTTGCTATAACCTAGTTAAATTAAACCTATTATTGTCATTGGATTATGTGATTTGTAGATTAATCTAGCTCGTGAAACACTGAAAGGCCTGCTGGGTCACTGGCTGGCTAAGAAGAAGCACAAACCAAAACCCCAAGTTCTTTCCTCTGGAGATACATTATCTGTAAAAGATACCAAAAAAAATCAAAGTGCATCAAAAAATGAAGACAGTAGTGCTGCTAGTGATCCGGTGTATCCTCCATTCGAGTTTTCTTCCGTCTCCCCTCCTTCCATCATAACCGAGGGCTCTCAAGGAGGACCATGGAGGAAGAAGATAACCGAGTTTACTGGAACTGAAGATGAAAAGGATTTCCCATTGTGGTGCTTGGACGCTGTCTTGAACAATCGCCTTCCACCTAGAGAAAATACAAAGTATTCGGCACTACCTTGTTCTCTAATAAAAAAAATAGTTTGGACTTTTAGCATTTTCATCACATATGTTTTTACATTTTCTTTTATAAATAGATAAAACATCTTTCAATAAAATCTCTGACTTCGAACGCTCTTTGAATTTCCAGATTAAGCTTCTTCCTACATCCATGTGAAGGTTCAACTGTGCAGGTGGTTACACTAGGGAAACTTAGTGCACCCCGGATCTTAAGAGTTCACAAGGTGCACTTATCTGCAAATCAAGCTTGAAGTTTTGCTTGCACTCTCGGTTATTCATTGGCTTTGTACATTTTTGTGCAGGTTACCAATTACGTTGTGGAAAAGATGGTTCTTGACAATCCGTTGGATAGTCTAGCTATTGATGCAGCAAGTGTTTCGGGAGGACAACCTCAGCCACTGTTTGCAGGAAATGGATTGCTACAGTCTGGATTAAAGTCTTGGCAGAAACTTAGACCTTCCATTGAAATCTTGTGCAATAACCAGGCAAGTCAGACTTAAAGAGATTCAACTATTTCTCAACTTCTGATCGCTTAAGAGTATTCTTTTATTGGGTCTCAATTAACTCTTTAGAGTGTGAGGCTGAATGAGCTGTTTTTTTCTGTGATTATTTCAGGTCTTATCTCCAGATATGAGTTTAGCAACTGTACGAGCATATATATGGAAGAAACCTGAGGATCTAATTCTCAACTACAGAGTTGCTATAGCTAGATAACTTTTGAGGTAAATTATTAGAAAAAGGTGAAAACTTATGAAAATGCATGATGTTGGTGTGTTTGTCAAGATAAATTTGTGGGGGACTAATCTCCGGCTCCATCTAGTTGACGGTTTTAACATGGGAGGGTGATTTCATATTTAGGTATTTTCATCAGAAAGAAAGTTAGAGAAACTTGAGTTGGTAGATTTTTCATGTGAGTTTTTTCACAACTTCTGATACTAAAGCCTTTGTAGATTGCCCTTTTTCATTTAAAACAATGATAAGAGCCATAAGTTTATGTTGATGGAAGCCTTGAAATTGAATATCACGATATCCGTTATTGCTCTACAGATTTTGGATCTGTCTGCGGGTGCATTTAATCACATGGAAGTCTATAGCCTTTCAATGCTTGTTCCTCGAAAAGCATAAATCTTGGTTTATCTTGGCCTAGTGTTTACTCAGCATCATGCTGGAGAATAATTCTGTTCTTTGGAGCACAGATACATGAGAAGTGGGCACCAATAAAGGTCCAAGGTTTTAGGTGAGATGGTGTCGAAAGCTTTACTAAATTTGTATATTAGGTTTGAGTTTGGAAAACAAAAAACTATTTTTAATTGTTTCCTGAAATAATAATAAACCAATGTTGTAAACTTGTAACTAAAATCCAACAAAGCAACATACCGAGAAGAAAAAAGTTTTTAGGAGTTCGGCGTTGTTTTCTCATCAGACTCGGACAGGCTTGGAATAGTTTCACAAGTTCGGGCAAATGTCCTGCTCAGATTCGGCTGGCTATGAAAGTACAAAACAAGCGAACTACTAGTTTGGGACGTTTTTAGTTTAAGCAAAGTTAATAAACACCAGAGAAAATCAAAGCAAACAAATAAACGCAGTTCCATTAACGACAAAACCGATGATGGACGGACCAAATCTTGAGAAAAACACAAATTGCGCCATATTCCACTCCGAAGTATGACATCACTACCCAAACACAAAAAATTGTTAAACGTTTTTTTCTTGACACATGAACATTAAACATACACTCTGTCTATGCCTATGGTAGTAGGGTTTTTCACAAGAAGAGAAATCAAGTGTTATGGTTTAGTCACTTCGAATAGAAGCTTTAAAAGTTATACAAAACTGAGTAGAAATATGATGTTCAGTGGCTTCTTTGATAATATCGTCAGCTTTTCAAGTTTCTATGGTGTTACCACCATCAGCTTCAGCCATCTCACGTTCTCTCTCATGCTCCTCTGCCATTACATGATGAAAATACATATGTTAGTTCCATAATGCAAAACACAAACAATATTTTGGACTTATATGACTTGGTATAGTAAACCAACAGATTTAGTGTTACTCATGAAACCGCAGACTAATGAATGTCTTAATCTATTCTTCATGACAACTTAAAATTTGCTTAATCAAGCTTCCATAGATGATATCAAGAATGTAGGTACAGTAACCACTTACCCATGAGTTTATACATAGCTTTTTGAGTCCGCCTTTCGAGCTTATCAAGCTTCTTCTGCACATCTCTTCGAAGGTCCCAGTTAGGCTTCTTTGGAGCAATGTTGACAAATGGGTCCTACAATGATAAATTCCGTTTCAGAGGCACAGGTCAAGCAAACAAAGAAAAAAGGACTTTTGGGATCAGTCACACACCTCTTTCTTCTCCACAGCAGGTGGAAGTGCAACTATTGGATCTTCGAATTTGGGTAGCTCTGGTGGAGCAACTTTACCATCCTGAAGCTCCTTAGCTTGAGGAACATAATTTCTAAATTTCATGGCTGGACCACTGTAAAATCAAAGAGCAATAAGAAGTAAGCACATGACCCGATATCACGAATAATCAAGCAACAAAAACCAATCACCTACGAAAAAAGTATAGATAAGAATGCAATCTGCAATGGAAAAACAGTTTGGTAATGAATTAGGCATTAACACCATTCTCGACTATATCACAAATAGTGGTGACAGTCAAGGAGAGAATCAACTCCAAAGTACTAGGGGAGCTCCTAGTTTTGCAATAGTCAACATACAACAAGAACAGGTTTTATGTGCTTGTCAAATTGTTCCTCCTCTAAAGTATAAATTATTCTTATAAAAAAGACTGTCTACAGAAATCAAGATATACAACATATGCATAAAACAAAGCACAGAATACTCACTCTTCTTCGACTGCTTCCTCTTCACCATCTTCCTTGGTCTCGGACAGTTCCTGAGCTGCCCTTAGAGCTCTAAGTGCCTCTTTACGAGCAGCAGCTTTTTGTTCTATCGAATCATCTTCACTAGCCATAACTTCCTGCAAAAATTAGGTTATGGATGTAAACATCAAGCATACAAAAGAAGTCAACCTGTGAGCTTCTTCAAACACTAATCACACAACTCACTGAGTCTAACCCTAAACAATCGTGATTTTTGTTTTCAGGATCTACGGAACCTAATCGGATGAAGATTTAGCAAAATCAAAGAGCTACACAATGAAATCAAAGTTGTATAGGATTATGAAAAAGCTCTCTACCCCAGGAAAATCAACGAGGAAATTTGGAATCGTACCTTGAAGCTTCTCTCGAGCTCTATAAAATTCCACACAGTGAGAGAGAACCAAAGGGATTCAAAAACTATTAAGGAGAAAGAGAAGAGAAACGCTGCGTTTAAAATTATCAAAACGGGCCATTAAATGATTCAATCAGGCCCAATTTATGAAAAAGATTAAACCAGTCGTTGGGTCTTAAACTAAACCCTAAGTTTGCAAGTTAACCATTTTTTTATAGCTTATAAAACGCAGCGTTCTGGGAGAGGCCCGAGTCGTCTTTAACAGCTATAATAATACCCTCGTAAAACCCTAAGTGATTGTCCGTCTCCATCTTCTTCTTCTCCCTCTTTCTCTCTGTCTGCAGCAGCTTCGAGTTACATACAACTAAGGTAATGAACCCCTCTCTTTCGTCACCATGAATGCTGAAGATTGTGGTATTTTCAATACTTAGATGGCTTATTGAGTTATTGTAGTTTATCTCTTCTTTTCACCCTGTTTTTTCTTATGTGAACCAAAATCTGGAATAGGGTTTATAATTAATGCTGTTTTCCCCTATATTCTTATATAAGATGTTAGCTTTTGATTGACTCAGTGTGACTCTGATACGTTTCCTTACTGTTCTGATTTTAGTGTTGTTCTAATTTTCTATTCAGATAGAGACGTGAGATATTTGTGAAGATGATCTTACTAGTTGAGACACCGGCGGGTTTTGGACTCTTTAAAGTTAAAGATGTTGGAAAGCTCTCCAACGTTGAGGTGACCTCTCTTCGTTATTTTTTAGTCTCTTAGCTCAACACTGGCTATATTGTCTTTTTTTTTGTTGCTCTAATGTCATCAATTTCAATTTTTTTTTTTTTTTGCAGGATTTGGGTAAAGAGTTTGACACTCCAGACTCAGCACGAAAGGTGATTATTTTTCTAATTATGCATTATTAAATTCATTGTGTCTGGGTTCTGAATCTTTTAAAACTTGCTCTAGTGTTTGAGTTTCTCATAAATATTGTGGTGTACCAGATGGTTAAGCTATTAGCTTTCGACAAGTTTGACAACACATCTGAAGCTCTCGAAGCAGTTGCTAAGTTGCTGGAGGGAACGCCAAGCAAAGGTCTGCGCAAGTTTTTGAAAGCTAATTGTGAAGGTGAAACCTTGGCTGTCGCGGATTCAAAGCTTGGAAATGTGATCAAGGAGAAACTGGTTTGTTAATTCACTTTTTCCCACTATTACACCCTTATTCCTGTTTGGCCTGCGTTTGTTTCTTATGAAAGTTTTTTACTCGTACAGAAAATCGAGTGTGTTCACAACAATGCTGTAATGGAGCTTCTACGAGGTGTTAGAAGTCAGTTCACAGAACTCATATCTGGTTTGGGTGATCAAGACATGGCTCCTATGAGATTGGGGTTGTCTCACAGCCTTGCCAGATATAAGCTAAAGTTTAGTTCTGACAAGGTATTTCTACGCCTGAATACTTATATTATTGTTTTTATTTGGTGACATGTAAAAGGATGTAACTTCTGTATTAAACTACGATTTGATTGTCTGATATGAAACTATCCTGTGTTTGTCTTTGCTTCGTTTGCATATCGTAACGGTTTAGTGTTTGTCAGGTGGATACCATGATTATCCAAGCTATCGGTTTGCTCGATGATCTTGACAAAGAACTAAACACATACGCTATGAGGGTTAGAGAGTGGTACGGATGGCATTTTCCTGAGCTTGCTAAGATCATATCAGATAATATCCTATATGCCAAATCTGTTAAATTGATGGGAAACCGGATTAATGCTGCTAAACTTGACTTCTCTGAGGTAACTTTCATATCTTCTAAACAGTGTGAAGAGAATTCCATTAATTTAAACGCCCTGATTAATAATCTTATATTCTCATGTAACTTGTTATTACAGATCCTAGCTGAGGAAATTGAGGCAGATCTGAAGGAAGCATCTGTGATATCAATGGGAACAGAAGTCAGTGACCTTGACTTGTTGCACATTCGGGAACTTTGTGACCAGGTTCTTTCTCTTGCTGAGTACAGAGCTCAGCTTTACGATTACCTGAAGAGCAGAATGAACACTGTCGCTCCCAATCTGACTGCCCTGGTTGGAGAACTTGTTGGTGCACGTCTAATTTCTCATGGAGGTAGTTTATTAAACCTCTCCAAGCAACCTGGAAGCACTGTTCAGATTCTCGGAGCCGAGAAAGCTCTCTTTAGAGCTCTTAAGACCAAGCATGCCACACCCAAGTACGGTTTGATCTACCATGCATCCGTTGTTGGTCAAGCAGCACCAAAGCACAAGGGAAAGATCTCGCGGTCCTTAGCTGCTAAGTCTGCTCTTGCTATTAGGGTTGATGCTCTTGGTGATGGCCAAGATAACACAATGGGACTTGAAAACCGAGCTAAGGTAACAATCTTCAATAACTTTCCTCTTGCTGCTCTGCAGCTCTGGTCTTTCTCTGAAAAATCTTTGATTATTATTTTCTCCTTCATACCTGATAATGTTTTTGGTAATATTTCACAGCTTGAAGCAAGGTTGAGAAATCTTGAAGGAAAAGATTTAGGTCGTCTGTCTGGTTCAGCTAAAGGCAAACCTAAGATTGAAGTTTATGACAAGGATAAGAAAAAGGGATCTGGTGGTCTTATCACTCCTGCTAAGGTGAAGATTAATTCTTTGTTTCTACACTTTTTATTTTATTTTTGGACTTGTGTTAGAGGGAAACTTCTGTTGCAGTTCGTTTTATATCTAGTTGCTTGTCTTTGTTCTTGAGTTTATGATGAAGTAATCTTAAACTGATTGTTCTGTGCAGACGTACAATGCTGCTGCAGATTCTCTTCTTGGGCAAACACCAGCTAAATCTGAGGACGGTGAGGAGTCTTCGAAGAAGAAAGATAAGAAAAAGAAGAAGAAGAAGGTGGAAGTAGAAGAAGAGGAAACAGAAGAGGAGGAACCATCAAAGAAAAAGAAGAAAAAGAAGGTGGAAGAAGAAGAAGAGGAACCAGAAAAGGAGGAACCATCAAAGAAAAAGAAGAAGAAGAAAGCTGAAGCAGAAACTGAAGACGTAGTAGAGGTTGCAAAAGAGGAGAAGAAGAATAAGAAGAAGAGAAAGCATGAGGAAGAAGAAACGACTGAAACACCAGCCAAGAAGAAAGATAAGAAAGAGAAGAAAAAGAAGAGTAAGGACTGAGAGAGATTTATCTCGAGTGTATGATTTTGTGAGATCTCATTATTATCTAGAGGAATTAGCTGTTAAGGTGTTTACTTATCTGTCTGAAATCATCATTTTGAATGATGAATTCATATTTAAATCCTTTACCCTCAGACTTTATATTTTGTTCTCTAGTCTTCTAGATGATTAATTCTGTTTCTCTTTTTTTTTTTTTTTTTTTAATTTATAATTTGTAAAATATTAAATATTCTTGGTGCATTGTTTTATCTAATAGTTAGTTTTATTCATATCTGGAAGACAGGAAATAATGTATTCCGATAAAATAAGCAATTAGTAGTATTGTATTTGCAACTAAACGTGTCTGTAGATCCACCAAATAAAATACTCTTTTGATTAAGTAAAGATGTTAGAGATTTACAGGCGGAGAATATCTCTATTTCCTGATCGTATGTTTCTTGGTTGACTCTATATTGCATGTTTATTTTTGGTAATTGTTTAGTAAAATTGTCTGGCATAATGATTCTAGTTTTTTACAATGCTTTGAATGAATAAATACAAAGCTTTTAGTCGTAAAAGAGAAATGGTTTAATCTAAAGGACAGAAGTAATCACTAATACCTTAGCCTTTGTTCCTTGTTTGGTTTACAACTGAGTCTTGATAAAGGAGCTTCGTTGATTGGAGAAGTGAAGGAAAACTCTCATCATGTATCATAATTGTTTTCACTTCCAGTTTTTTTTTTTTTTTTTTTTTTAAATTATTATTTGAATATAAAAGAAATCATAGTGTTATTTTAATGATAACATTCCAAAATTAGGTGGATACATTACCAAATATTCTTCACTTAAGTTAATAAATATTGTTTGACCAATAGTATCATAGATCAAAATTCTTCTTATGATCCTTGTCATTGACAAAACCACTTCTTTAGCACCATTGAAAACCTTTGTGTTAAAAAAACAGAAGAAGAAAAAAAGAGTTCTCCTCATGACTATAGCCGTTTCATATTCGAAATTAACCGTTATTAGTGACACAAAAAAAAAAAAAAAAATCAATTTGAATACTAATATATATTGTAATGCTTTAAAGTAAGAAAACACATATACATAAGGATTAGTCATTAAGTATGTTATTAATGACTAGTTTGAAATCTGGAAAGAAAAGAAAAAATGGTTCTGAGGTATTGTGTTTGAATAAGTTGGTGGGGGATGAAGAGGAGTAACTTTGAGCCTTTTTGACCTGTGTTGCGTCCAAAAACGATTACACAATAATAATAATTATTATAATAATAAACAGCCAACAGATCTTCGTCTGTTTCCATTTTTATTCCTTTTTCTTGTCTGTTTCAATACCAAAACAAAAAAGAAAGAAAGAAAAAGAAAAAAAGAGTTTAAGAAGTAAATAAAAAGCTTAAAAATTCGAAGCAGTTCAACCAATCCTACTTCTTCTTCTTCTTCTTCTTCTTCTTGAGAAGTTTATTTTACCCCAAAGTTGGTCTTTTTCTTTCTTAATTAATGGTGGTAAGTAAGTAACTCTGTAGTATGTATCACCTTGCTTTTTTCCCAAAGCCCTAATTGATTTTTTTTGTTTCTTTTTGTTTTTTTTTGCTTTAAAGGTTTCATTTTTAAATCTTCTGGACTCCATTGTTCACTTTTCCTTTTTTTTCTTCTTTTTTGCCTCTCTTTGTGGAAATTTTGAAATCCCTCAATTCATTCCTATTTTTGTTCAATTTTCTTCTCTCTTCTTTTCTTTCTCCTGAGTTTTGAGTCAGCTTTGTGTATGTATGTATCTAAGATTCTAAACAAGTTCCATCAGATCTTTACCTTCTTCCTTTGACTTGTCTCACAGCCTGAGTTCCCCCTCTTTGTCTCAAAACTAGGGTTTAATTTTGTTTCTTTTTGGGTTTTTTTTTTTCTTTTCCAGCAGCTGTTTTTGTCCATTCAAGTTTCAGATTTGACCAGCTGGGTCGAGAATTTCGCGTCTCCTCGATCATAAAGTAAGTGAATTTCACCAACCCTTTTTTCAAAGTCTCCTGTTTTAGTCAAATCTGATCTTCGATGTGATACTTTTCCTGGGTTTCGAGTTGGACTCAATTTTCTTGTGTTTGTTTCCTGATTTTTTTTTTTTTCTGTTTGAATTTTCCATTTATGTGTGTGTTGCAGTTAAAGTTGAATTCAAAGTAACTTTTGATTGCGCCAAAGAGATCTCTTTTATAAACATGTTGAGCAGATGAAGGTTAGTTTCATGAGATGGGTTGTGTATTGGGTCGACCCGGATCATCGGGATCAGTTTCTGGGTCTAGAGACGAAGTTAGTACAAGGATTGAGTCTAATCGACAACAAGTTAACAATGTGTCTGTGACCAAAACTGAGGCACCAGAGAGCACTAGTGTTGTTGTTGTTGCTTCTGCTTCTAATGGTGAGGCGGTTAGGAATCATGAAGCTGTTGTGGATCAGAAGGAAGAGAATGGCTTAGCTGTGACAGAGGCCAAAGAGAGGAAATCTAAAGGGGAAAGAAAAAGGTCTAAGCCTGACCCTAGACGAAGCAACCCACCAAAGAATTTGCTCGGCGAGCAAGTTGCAGCTGGATGGCCATCATGGCTGTCTGAAGTCTGCGGAGAAGCTCTAAGTGGATGGCTTCCACGGAAAGCGGATTCTTTTGAGAAGATTGAGAAGGTGAATGCACTATCTGTTTTCGTTTTGTTCCTTGCAATGATTTTGGATAATTGAAGTTTGTTGTTTATGTGTGTGCGCAGATTGGATCAGGAACGTATAGTAATGTGTACAAGGCGAAAGATTTGTTGACAGGAAACATTGTGGCATTAAAGAAAGTGCGTTGTGATGTTAATGAACGCGAGAGCTTGAGATTTATGGCTAGGGAGATTCTGATTTTGAGGAGGTTGGATCATCCCAATGTCATTAAATTAGAAGGCTTGGTTACTTCGAGGATGTCGAGTAGTTTATACTTGGTGTTCCGTTATATGCATCATGATTTAGCTGGTCTTGCTGCAAGTCCGGACATTAAATTCACCGAGCAACAGGTTATTTCCTTGGTGAAATAGATTTCACAACACAGAAATGGAGGCAAATCCTAATCGTGTTAATATTTTCTATGTTTTCAGGTTAAATGCTATATGAAGCAACTACTCTCGGGGCTCGAGCATTGCCATAGCCGAGGAGTTCTTCACCGTGATATTAAAGGATCAAACCTACTTATAGATGATGGAGGAGTTCTTAGAATAGGCGATTTCGGGCTTGCAACATTTTTTGATGCGAGTAAGAGGCAACATATGACGAATCGGGTTGTTACTTTATGGTACAGAGCACCAGAGCTTCTTCATGGTGTTATTGAGTACAGCGTCGGTATTGATTTATGGAGCGCAGGTTGCATTTTAGCTGAGTTATTAGCTGGTAGACCGATAATGCCAGGTCGTAATGAGGTAAGTTGTCAAGTTATGATTTTCTTTTCAAGGTTGAGAAATGTTTGTGTTATTCATATGAAATGTGAACTGGGATAATGTTCATGCTGCAGGTTGAGCAGTTGCATAGGATATATAAGTTATGCGGATCGCCTTCGGAAGAGTACTGGAAGAAGATTAGGCTTCCTTCTACTCATAAGCATGCTCATCACAAACCTTTACCACAGTATAAGAGAAAATTAAGAGAGGTTTACAAAGATTTCTCTCCTGAGGCGCTTTCTCTTCTCGATACGCTTCTAGCGCTCGATCCAGCTGAGCGCCAGACAGCTACAGATGCGTTGATGAGTGATGTAAGCTTTTTTCAATGAAAAGTTTGAAACAGATTAACAGGATGTAAGCTTTTTTCAATGAAAAGTTTGAAACAGATTAACAGTTTGGCTATCAAGTTTAGATTATAGAAATGAGAGTGGTGTAAGTAGTTTTAGGAATGTAAAATGTTTGAAATTTTTGAATCTTAGGCGTACAGACTTGATAGTGGTTAAAAAACTTCCATGGCTGATTTATTTTTGTTGTGCAGCTCTTCACGACGGAGCCATTGGCATGTCAACCTTCTGATCTCCCGAAATATCCTCCAACTAAAGAGATTGATGCCAAGAGACGAGACGAAGAGTATAGGAGGTAAAGGTTTCTGTTTCAGTTTGTTTATTCCGTTATTTGGGATTCCAGTTTCAGAAAACTTGTCACCAACTAGAGCCGAATATAGTATAGATAGGCTTGGTAAGGTCTTAGTTTAAGAGAATATGTTTCGGTTTGGTGATGGTTGCTTGAGAGATGTATTCATGTCTGCAGACAAAGAGAAGCCCGTAAGGCTCAAGGAGAGAGCGGAAGAAGAATGAGACCTCGAGAACGAGCCCGAAGAGCAATGCCAGCTCCTGAAGCCAACGCTGAGAATCAATCTAACATTGATGTAAGAATTCAAACAAAAAGAAATGAATCATTTTTGACTTCCATATCTGAATCTTTATAACCTTTTCTCGTTACAACAGAGGTTGCGTTTGATTACGCACGCGAATGCAAAGAGCAAAAGCGAGAAGTTTCCTCCACCACATCAAGACGGGTCGCTCGGTTTTCAGGTGGGATCGTCACGGCGATTGGATCCATCAGAGATACCGTATAGTACAAACTCGTTTACTTCATCTTACTCCAAAGAGCCATTCCAGAGTTGGTCAGGGCCTTTGGCTCCCATTGGAGCATCTGACTCATCCACAAGGAGAAGGAACGATATCAACAAGGAGAGGAGGATGGCTTCTAAGGTTAAAGGCAAAAGAATCGTTGTTTGATAGATTTTTTTCATCTGATAATTTCGAAAGTTTCCTTTTTTGATAGAGATATTTTGCGAAAAAAAAAAAAACCGATTTTTCCTTTTTGGTGGGTTATATGTTTTTTATTTTATTGGGTTGATTTGTGTATTGTACAAGAGAATTGACCTCAACAAAAAAAAAAAAACACCACTAAAATGAGGGAAATTATTACCTTTCTATGAAATTTTATGTAAATTATTATTTTTTAGCTTCCTTTTGATTTTCATCTTTATTTAGTTGGACGATGAAGAAACAAATCTTCTCCTTACCTACGGAAGAAATTTTCTTTAATCACAATTTAAGTTTGTACTAAGTATGCTGGCGTTAGAAATTAAAAATATCCATAATCAATAAAAAAAAATAGAAAACTATAAATTCGCCTACCAAAAAAAAAAAAAAACTATAAATTCGTATGTTTCGTGTAAAACCCCAAAACCCAAAGCCAAATCAGACTCGGAATAAGAGTGTTGGGAATCTCTCTCCTTTGTTGGTGATATTCGTCGGAAGTGATGGACGATATCAGCTCAACGGCGAGTAATGTCGCCCGAGCGATTCTCGCCGTCCTCGATTATAGCTCCACGTCCGACACTCGCAAATCGGCCGTCGAATTCCTGGAATCTGTAATTGCTCTTTTGAATTTTCTCTCTTCTTTCGCTCTGTGATCGATTTGCGTTATCTGTGTTGCATGTTTCGTTTATGAATATGATGTAAACTGGTGCTGGTGGGTTTACCAATGATCAAGCTTTAAGGATTTGTTTTTAAGGAACCTTTTTAGTTAGATCCTCAGATTATGTTAATATACTGAAAACGATTTTTGATAGAATTTGAGAGCTTGATTTTGTGCAAACTGGTAGGAAGAGTTGTTTATTTTCCTAACTTTTGCCTTAACTTTGTTTCATTAGCGGTTGCAAAGTTGGAGCGGGTTTTGATCTTTTGAAAAATACAGTAGTAGTTGTGACCGATTTGTTTTGATTGAGTAATCTGCGGTCCTTGCAGATAAAATCTGGAGATGTCAGGGTTTTGGCAAATATTTCGTTTCATTTTGTGAAAAAGGAGTGGTCTCCAGAGATTCGTCTGCATGCTTTTAAGATGCTACAGGTTTTTCAAATATGTATTGCTTTCTGATTTTTTTTTGTCTTTTACTTAAAACTGCTCTTGCTCAATGAAACTGGACTAGATAAGATGCTTGAGGTTAAGGAGGGCTTTAGAACACATCGATTATAGTGTCAAGTTTCTTTAATGTACAGATCCAATTCCAAAAAACTCATAGTATAGCATTAAAAAAAACAAACAGGAGACGCCTGCCGAGAGAATTCGAATGCCAAGTCAAACTTGGAGACTTTCATATTCCAAATAGATAATGTATCCCAGTGAATAGAACCTCAAAACTTTGCTATATCTTAGTGCTGTATGTTTTGCGCTTTATGATTGTCATAATTTAGCTTCTTAGGAGGTCATACAAACCTTATTGTGAAGCTATCTTTCTTTTCCAGCATCTGGTCAGACTACGATGGGACGAGTTAAGTCCTCCGGAGTGCACAGATCTTGTTAATGTTTCTGTTGAACTTATGTCAGAGGTTGCAAATGCATGCGAGAATTGGCCTCTTAAGAGTCAGTCAGCTGCTCTTGTAGCGGAGGTACAAATTTAAATTGGTCTGCGTTTTCACTTGCTGTCATCATTGGTACTTGTTTCCTTTCACTTTCTCAGATTTATATCTTTTATCTTATTGCAGATTGTTAGAAGACAAGCACCTGATCTTTGGCAAGAAATATTTACTTTATTGACTTCCTTGTCTGCTCAGGGCCCCTTACAAGTAAAATGCTCTTTTCATTTATTTACTATAATAATTTATTTGTCGGGGTGACCAATAAAAATGTTCCCATCTGTTTTTCTTATACAATAGGCTGAATTGGTCTTGATGACGCTGAGATGGCTTCCTGAAGATATTACAATTCACAATGACGACTTGGAAGGTACGCAAGAGTAAATATACTTACTTTTTCTATTAGTCTATCCGCAGGGTGAAGCTTTTTCTAATCTTGAACTTCAGATTAAACCAAATTAAATCGGTTATGGAAAGACACATATGCTAACATTTGTTAATTGTGTAATTCATATGCTCAACTTAAGATTTTCAGTTTAGTTAATATTCAATCTGGTTTTGTCATTATGGTTTAACTCAGACATTTTGAAGAAAGTACCTCTTGGGTTATAAACCTTTTCATTTTTATTCAGCTCCATCTTCCTTTCTAACTTCTGTTTTGAACATTTCTTCAGGTGACAGACGTAGGCTATTGTTGCGGGGACTTACTCAATCTTTGCCTGAGATTTTGCCTTTATTGTATAATGTATGCCACCAATTAATTTCTCTCACGAAAGTTGTTTGCTGCCATGGTAATTTGCTGAATACATTAAAATGCAGCTTCTTGAGAGACACTTTGGAGCTGCGATATGTGAAGCTCGTAGGAAACACGTTGACCTGGCAAAACAGCATGCGGATGTGGTTATAGCTTGCTTGAATGCCATCATGGCATATGCTGATTGGGCTCCAGTTCCAGATCTCGCCAGATATGGAATTCTTAGTGGGTACGTATTCATTGACACCCTTGTAGAGACAGTTCTGTTGATATCAGCCGTGCATATTTTTCCTTACTGATGAAGTGGTTGCAAACTCATAATAGGTGCAACTTCTTACTTTCTTCCCCTGACTTCCGTCTTCACGCTTGTGAGGTTTTCAAACTCGTCTGCTCTAGGTATGCGACTGGGTTTTTTGATCTGATGTGCTAACGTGAGCACACATAGACAGCTTTGAAATTTTTTAGCTTTTCTTTTCTGTAGAAAAAGACCCAGTGATGCTTCTACAGCAGAGTTTGATTCTGCAATTAGCAATTTGTTTCAGATCCTGACGAACGTCTCCAGAGAATTCTTATGTAGATCCTCCTCAAGTTCAAGCGTTATAGATGAAAATGATTATGTTTTTGCAGAATGCATATGTGAGAGTATGGCCTCTTTAGGCTCAACTAACTTGCAATGCATCTCCTCTGATGGTGGTGTTATGGCTGTTTATCTTCAGCAGGTATTGTAATTTGTTATTTTTGTTACTTAACTGGATGTTTTCAGTGAAGAGGCTGAAGGTAGTAATCTATATTGGAAAAAAACGCTGTATGTCTATGTTCTGCAATGGCATTCTGAAACAGAATAAGTTTGATACTGAACAGTCAAATTTTGTTGTTTTGAACTGGTCACTTTGAAATTTGTTCTTAGATGCTCGTTCTTGGATGAGCTAAGTCCAAGGGTATACTAGTGTCGTAATCTTTCTGATATAGTTTGTGGATCTAAGTAAATTATAACTTAAAAATCCTTCTGTTCTTGTTAACAGTAGTATTTTGCATTATTATATTTTTTTCCACAAATAATCATGTTGTGAATATGTTTGTATAGATGCTTGGATTTTTCCAACACTTCAAGTTGGGCCTTCACTTTGAGGCACTTCTCTTTTGGCTGGTATGTAGTAAATCCAACCTTCTTCCGTTCTTCGTTGGGAAATTTCAAAGACAAACATATTTGTTGCTAATTTCAACATCTTTTCCTTTTGGATTATAGTCATTGATGCGGGATTCACTTCCAAAACCCATGGCTGCAGCTTATCTAAGTGGTGAGGGATCATCAACTGGCGGTATGATTAGTTCAAGCCAGGTTGATGGTGAAAAGAAAAAGACTTTAAGTCTTATTAATGATGATATCTCTAGCGCTCTACTGGATGTATCTTTCCAGCGGATGCTCAAGAAAGAAAAACTTCCTCCTGGAATTACTCTTTCGCTTGGGCCCCTTGAACTCTGGAGTGATGAATTTGAAGGGAAGGGAGAATTTGGCGCGTACCGATCAAAGCTTGTATATTCCTCAACGATCAAAGCTTGTATATTCCTCAACCAAATGGGTTGGGTCTTACTTTCCAGACAAACACTTACCTACAAACTTCTTTCTTTTGTGCAGCTAGACTTGATCAAGCTTACTGCTTTTCACAAGCCTCTCATTGCTAGTACCAAAATATCTGAAAGAGTGATTACACTCATTAAGCACCTACTGGCTTCTCCAGCACCTCTTCAGGTTTTATCTCGAGTACTAAAAGCTGTTAACTTTAGATATCTACTATATGGAAGCTTCTTTGACGATCTAGTTCATATTTAAGCTCATGATACAATCATTCTCAGGATGTAGCTGTGATGGAAAGCCAGCAATTGGCACTTTATTGTATTGTGTCAACGATTTTTGATGGATCAAATGAGTTTGCGGGGGGATGTTCTGAAGTTCATCATGCATTGCGTGGAGTATATGAGGGTATATTGCAGCATATTTCACCTTCCCAAGGTTTTGTTTACAATGTCTGGGCTTGTTTAATACTCGGTATTGTGTTGTTGATGGGTCAGGATTGCTTCAGCAGCTTCTCTCCTTAAAAAGGAATGAACCAGAGCTTATGAAAGTGCACGTGCACTATCTGGATGCAATGGGTCCTTTTCTTAAGTATTTTCCGGATGCAGTTGGAAGTGTCATCAATAAATTATTTGAGCTTCTCACCTCTCTTCCACACATTGTGAAGGTTATTTTTATTATTGCTTTATTTATATTATATACATACGCTTATGCCTTGTGCAAACAAATAGGACTTTTTCAATTTTTTGACAGTGCACAAGTGAAGGTGTGGATGAGTTATGTGACACTTGTTTCATTGGCAGGATCCAGCTACTAGTACATCTAGAGCTGCAAGATTGCAGATTTGTACATCTTTCATTAGAATAGCCAAAGCTGCAGAAAAAAGTGTTCTGCCTCACATGAAGGTAGCTTTGATCTGTCACCATTTACATTTAGGAACTCAGACAAGTAAATGCTGGAAAACTGTTTGCATAATTTATGATTTGTTAAGCTGGTGCGGGGTGATATATGGATATACCACCACACAATTTTTCTTATTGTAGTTTACGAAGACAAAATTCTTTGAATTGGTTCTAAAATTCTAATCAAAGGTGTCTGGTTACTGTATCTTGTGAAAACTAAAGCAACAGGCACCCTGCTACTGGTTGCTCTGCATCATTATTTTTCATTGGTTGTTTTCCTTGCTTGTTGGAACATCTTTGGTTAAGCAGAAA